AAACAAAACTTAAAAAATCCCTTAGAGACTGTACTCACATATTAATATTGTATTGATTAGATTGTTATATTTACTATAATATAAATATACCAATGAGATTATCTTTTTTTATATTAAACCTTCAAAAGCAGGTGTGCTCATTAGCATATCTCCATATGTCTAGCGGCCACCATCCTGGACAGCTCAACTCTAAAACAATGCCTGGCACAGAGCAGGCACTTACAAATAGTCATTGAACAAGAGAATGTTTTCCCAGGAAGAGGCAGCTATGGTATAGCACAGAGTTCTGAACTTTGATTGCATCCTACAATCAAAATGGTTGCTGTCTATATACTATTTTTTTTTCTTAAAATGGCATACATTTATAATTGAGAAAATACTTTAAAATAAAACTGTATGTCCTGTTCTTTTTTTAAATATATTTTTATTGATTTCGGAGAGGAAGGGCGAGGGAGAGAGAGATGGAAACATCAATGATGAGAGAGACTAATTGAATGGCTGCCTCCTGCACGCCCCCCCACTGGGGACCACGCCCACAACCCGGGCATGTGCCCTTGACCAGAATCGAACCCAGGACCCTTCAGTCCGCTGGCTGACGCTCTATCCATTGAGCCAAACCAGCTAGGACTAGATCCTTTTCTATGAATGGAAAAGTATGGGTCTAAGGATAAAAGGCCTGGCGTTGGGTCCCTGCTCAGTCATTCCCTGGCTCTGGACTCTAAAGCAAGGACTTGGGTAAGCCTCAGTTTCTTTATTGGTAGAATAGGGACAACACTGGCCTTCACGGACTACGGTGAAAATTAAATGAGATGTTGATATCAGCCCTTTGCCCATGGGAAAGTAATCATTAAGTAAGAGACTGAGAATTCCATCCAAGCCTTTTTCCCAGGCCTATCGTATTCATTAAGGACCAATAACACAAACTGGCAAATCTGACACGAGAAGAGCGAGGACTTGGGTTCGTACCCTATTAGTGCTTTGTGACCTTCAGAAGTTTTACTCACTAAACACTTACCAAGTGCCACAACGTGCCATACAGGAGGCTACTGGACAAACAAACCAAATAAGATATGACTCCTGCCCTCGAAGGATTACTAGCCTAGCAGGTAAACAAGAAAGAGTGATAAATTGTTGAAAAATCAAGTCACCTCTCTTAGCTCTGCTTGTGCATTGTGAAATGAGAAGAATACCTTCCCAACATAACAATACTCCAAAAACTTGAACTCATAACACGTTCGCAAAGTACTTCCTCCCCGCCCCCCTACTTGTAACATTTTGGGTTCAAAATGATGCTGGCTCCTGTGACTGTCCGGTCTGAGCATTCCCTCCAGTTATATCACATCCACGAAATTCATTTCACTGCTGCAAATCTTAGCCAACACAAAGAAAGAAAGAAAGAAAAAGGATGAACAGCTTTTCACAAAGGCATTTAATCTCAAAATCGTGATCCACGTCCTGGTTCTAAGGAGCGCGCAACACAGACCTCACAGTCACCCTCCCTAATCACGGAGCGTCCAGATAAGTGGTCACACGGTAAGGGGAGCTGAATAATTTAAACAGAAGAGGAAAAGTCAGAAAGCCGGGTAAGCAGACACTGTCCAAGGTTTCAGCAGTCCGCTGTGTGGCTGAGGGAATCGCTGAGCTAGGTAGTCCTCCACCGTTCAGGCTAAAAAAGCCATTTTAGGGCCAAAGTGCCCATCCTTTTTTTTTTTTTCTTTTTTTCCCCAGCTTAGAAATGGATGGGATCTGGGGAAGAAAAAAAAAAAAATCTCAAAGAAAGATGATCAGAAAGGCTAAGGTTCCCAAGAAGCGGAAACCCTACCCGAGCAGGGCTAAGAGGGTGTGACGACAGCAGGCGAAGATCCTGCGCTCCCTCCCGAAGTTTAAACACTTGAATGGGACCGACATCAAAGTCTCGGGGAACAATCACTCCCAAAGGAGGAAGGAGAGGGAGAGGGAGAGAGAGAGACTCTCCGCTGGGGTTCAGGCCGCTTCTTCTGGATCTCCCCCCTTCCTCCCCTCCCTTCCCGGGCAGTCAGTCCCGAGTCGCCCCTTCTCCTCCGGTCCCGACCCTTCCACAGAGGTCACCGTCTCCATCCCTGGCACCTACGCCGCCCCATTCCCCTTCCAGGGGGACTGGCCGTCCCGCGGCCGCACCCCCGGCCGCCGGGCCCCCGCGCCCTCCCCCCCCCCCGGGGGCAGCCCCCCGCGCGCAGCCCGCGGCGCGCCCACCCCTCCAGGGCGGGAGCCGGGACACCCCTCCTCGGAGGCCGGAACCGCCGCGCCAGGCCCCTCCCACAGGAAGCCACCGCCCCCCGGCGCCCGGGCCGCACCGCCCCCCCTGACCCCCGCGTCCCCCGCCAGCCGCCGCCGCCTCCCCAGGCCGGCCCCGCACCCCCGGCCGCCGCACCCCCGGCGCCCGCGCTCGCTACCTGCCGCGCGGCCACAGAAGCGGCGCCCAACTCCGCTCTCACTTCCGCCTTCCACCGCCCCGCACTCCGGGCCGGGTCACGTGGCCGCGCGCGGTCACCTGACCCGGAAGAGGCTGGCCGGGCCGCAGGTGTGGGGCAACCTTAGGCCTGGCCTGGGATGCTCCGTCGGGGAGAAGGGCGTTCTTATTAACGTTTGTGGGTTTAGAAGGCGAAGAAGCGTTTTTTCCACTTGCTGGAGTGCTTCCCGAGCCATCCGCCGAGGACTCAGCAGTGCCGGTCGCTTTACTCTCTCTCCCACCAAGCCCGGGGGTGGGTCTAGGGTTAGCCCCACTTCGCAGGTGAGAGGTAGCCATTGAATCAAGTCACCCAATATGTCAGTGTTTCCCAAACTCCTCTCATGATGAGAATCCCCTGGTGGAGTTAACTACAGATTCCCGAATCCCAACTAAGAAGTGCTAAACTTGAATCTTTGGGAACATGTAGGTAAAATTACTATATTAAACTAGTGCTCTAAGCTTTGGGAACATTTTTGGGAACATATAGGTAAAATTGTATACGAACACTAGTTAATTATACAATTTTACCTATATGTTCCCAAAGCTTAGAGCACTAGTTTAGTATAGTAATTTTACCTATATGTTCCCAAAAATTCTAGTTTAGCACTTCTTAGTTGGGATTCGGGAATCTGTAGTTGAACAACTCCACCACGTGATTCTCATCATGAGAGAAGTTTGGGAAACACTGCTTTAATGGAATAGCTGAACCTTTGAGCATAGATCACATTACTGCAGGGGAGACCTTAGAGAGACAAAGGGGCCAAGACAGATCTGTGGAGGGTGTCCTGTTTGCAAGGCAGAAAGAGTCCAGTGAGGGAGGGTGAAAAGGTACTAGGGAGGCAGGGAGACCAGGACTATGACCAAGCCAAGCAAGGAGACACAGTCCAGAAAAAGGAGATGGTCAGCAATGTCAAATTCTGCAGAGAAATGGAGAAGGCAAGAAATAAAAACTTAAAAAATTGCCCTAACTGCTCTGGCTCAGTGGATAGAGCATCAGCCTGCGGACTAAAGGGTCCTGGGTTCGATTCTGGTCAAGAGCATGTACCTTGGTTGTGGGCACAGCCCCAGTGGAGGGTGTGCAAGGGACAGCTGATCAATGTTACTCACTCATCGATGTTGCTAGCTCTCTATCCCTCTCCCTTCTCTTTAAAAAAATCAATAAAATATTTTTAAAAAACTAAAAAAATTGATGTGATGAACTGGAAAATTAGAAACAGCCTTCAGGTGGGCAATTTAAGCAGGGTAGGTAGGGCAGGAACCTGTCAGTAGGTCTGGCAGTTGAAGAGGTTAAGTGGGAAGAGCAGTTGAGAAGTGTCTGGAGAAGGAAAAAGGATTTGGGTGATGGCTAAATGGCACTGAAGGATTTTTGGAAGTAGAATGCATAAATTATAACTGAGGGGTAAGATTGGAGTGAAGATCTGACAAAAAAGGGATGGAATAACCCAACGTCGCTGAAGACTGTTGACTGAAAACTCAACTAACATTCAGCCAAAATTCACCAGCATGAACTTATAATAGGCCAGATCTCAAAATGATAAAATCTCAGGTTTGAACGGGAATTCAGAAATCATCTCATACCCCTCAGTTCGATTCAGCGATGAATTATTTGCTAGTATATAATGTACCTTGCTTAGGGAAGTGGGGCAATGTCTTATATTAAAATAAGACAGACCTTTGGCTCCAAGTTACATTCAGTATGAAATGGGGATGCATCGGCCACCATAGCCCAGCAATTTTCAACAGGTGTGCCATAATAATCTTTAAAACATGCACTACCTGACTATTTAGTCATGAGCACTGACCTCTTTTCTCTTCGATTGTCAAATTCTAAAAAATGACAACAGCCAGCACATGGTTATATTACAATAACCATCTGGGGTGAAGGAGTAGAAATTATACCTATTTTTTTGTTGTCAGATCAGCAAAACATGCATTTTGTGGTGTGCTGCAGAATTTTAGCGATTAATTCGTGCCTTGGGATGAAAAAGGCTGGTTGGAAATCACTGCTATGGCACAATGGTTAAGAAAGTGGCTCTGCCTCGGGTTTGCCTGAGTGTTAATCTTGTTACAACCTTTTTACTAGCCGTGATAACTTTATTTGTCTTGAGTAGCTATCCCTCGACTGTAAAATAATACCTCTCTTATGGGCTTGTGATCATTAAAAAGTTATGTGTATGGACTGACTTTTAACAATGACAACATACACTGGCTTTACACTTAAAAGTAAAAAAAAATAAAGCGCTAAGGCCTGGATGCTGAAACCTATTTAATCCTCAGGTACTCCTCCCCCCCCCCCCCCCCCCCCCCGCCCCACCGTTCTCACATCCAAGGTTTGGCCCCGCCCACAAGCCCCCGGGCCCGCGCAGCGCGCGTGCGCACAAGTAGCCGGAGCCGATTGGTGCCGGAGTGGCCGCCAGGGGGCGCCGCTCAGTTGGGGCTGTTCCTCCCGCTCCCGGGCCCGGCGTGGGCCGCAGGGGCGGGCGCATGCGCACTCGGGATTTGCCGAGCCAAGATGGCGCCGGTGGAGCACGTTGTGGCGGACGCCGGGGCGTTCCTGCGGGACGCGCCTCTGCAGGTACGGGGAGCGCGGGTGGGAGGGCGCCGGGGGCGGGCTGGCGGCCCGCGCGGGAGCGCTGAGCTGGGCCGGTCTCCGCGCAGGACATCGGGAAGAACATCTACACCATCCGGGAAGTGGTCAGCGAGATCCGGGACAAGGCCACGCGCCGGCGGCTCGCCGTCTTGCCCTACGAGCTGCGCTTCAAGGAGCCCTTCCCGGAGTACGTGCGGCTGGGTGAGTGCCTCTGCCCCGGCGGACGAGGCCGGGGTCCGGGGTCCGGGGTGCGAGTTGGGGTCGGGCGCCGTGATCGGCGGCTGATTCGGAAACCTCGGGTTCCCAGGAGGAGGTCGTGGTAGGAAAGTGCTTCCTGGGTCAGGGGTCAGGGGTCAGCGGGGTCTTGCCAGTCACTCAGGCTCTCTAGGCCTCGATCGCCTCATCTGTAAAATGGGAATAATAGCCCCCGCCCCCGAGGCTGCCGGAGCTGTAAAGAGCACTCTGTCCCACTCCCGTAGTGACGGTCATTGGCAGGCATTCGGTGAGTTTGGGTTAAAAATAAAAGAACCTGGATTTCTTACTCTTGGCCATTTCTTTAAAATATATATTTTTAAATATATTTTATTGATCTTGTACAGAGAGGAAGGGAGAGAGATAGTTAGAAACATCGATGAGAGAGTAACATCGATCATCTGTCTCTTGCAAACCCCTCACTGGGGATGTGCCCGCAACCAATGTACATGCCCTTGACCGGAATCGAACCCGGGACCCCTCAGTCCCCAAGCCGACGCTCTATCCATTGAGCCAAACCGGTTTCGGCTAAAAATATATTTCTTTATTGACTTTTTAACAGAGAGGAAGAGAGAGGGATAGAGAGTTAGAAACATCGATGAGAGAGAATCATCGGTCTGCTGCCTCGTGCTCACCCCCTCCTGAGGGATGTGCCCGCGGAATCGAACCTGGGACTCTTCAGTCCGCAGGCCAACTGGTTATCCACTGAGACCAACCCGGTTTCGGCCTTGTCCATTTCCTTAAAGTAGATCAGAGTGATCATTGCTTTTGGATAACGGTTTTGGAAATTGAGGCCAGGCTCAACTCAGAAAAAAAGGGATGGCTTTTGGCTTTGCATTAGTCCTGAAGGAATGCGAAACCGTTATCGCTTGGCTTGGGCGTCGGCATGGATCTCTTCTTAGGGATTGAAGTCCAAGGGGATTGGACATGTTTTTAGGGTTTAGACAGAGGCGGATGATGGGAATGTTTGTTACGCTACTCGTTTGTGACTTCTGTAGCTTTTCTCACCGACTCACTGGGAAAGCTTTGAGGAGTTACTTCATCTTTCTGAAGAAATACTAATAGTATTTACTAGGATTTGGTTGGAGCTTTTAACACAGTGCCTCATGTGAGATACATAGAAATTGCTGCTGTTGACTGGTATCTGCTTTTTAGGAAACGATAGAGTTACTGTTCCATGTGGCAGTGTAGCACCACACCCCTTTCTGTTAATGTGTCAGGAAATTTTATGGTACAAGTTTATTGTTGATGTCTCAGGAGAATTACCGTAATAACAGCTGATATTTACAATGTGGTAAACATAGGGGGGTATTCGTTTGTGTGTTTTTTTTTATATTTTACTGATTTTATACAGAGAGGAAGGGAGAGAGACAGAGTTAGAAACATGGATGAGAGAGAGTCATCAATCAGCTGCCTCCTGCACACACCCCACCGGGGATATGCCCGCAACCAAGGCACATGCCCCTGACCGGAATCGAACCCGGGTCCCTTCAGTCCCCAAGCCGATGCTCTATCCACTGAGCCAAACTGGTTTTGGCCGTTCGTTTGTTTTTAATACACAAAAACTGTCCTATATTTATTACAAAGCAACCAATAATTTTTTTTTCCATCATAGACTATAACAGATATTGGTCAGATTAACTTTCCATCCCATTTTGGAATCTAGTCATCCATTCTATTAATTTCAATTGTTAAAAAAAAAAAAATCAAAGAACTTTACAACTGGGAGAGAAGAGACCTTCTATTCTGACATAATACCAACACTCATCATTTGTAAATATCATGCTAACTCTGAATGCCTTCCTATTAACTTTGATCTCCCGTTCCTTCATTTGTACTCAGGATATCACAGTATAGCTAACGGGTGTGAATCTTGATGAGAAAAACTATAGATGTCACTATGATTAGAAAAAAGAGGAGGAAATAGATGATAATCTGAAGAGGTTTCTCTTGACATATTGTTCCCAAGTTCTTTTCATACTTTTCATTATCTGCAGTCATGTGACTTTTTGCCTCTAAATGAAGCTGAGCATCTTTTGTTTACAGTGACTGAGTTTTCAAAGAAAACTGGAGACTACCCCAGCCTTTCCGCCACCGACATCCAAGTGCTGGCACTTACCTACCAACTGGAGGCAGAGTTTGTTGGGGTGTCCCACTTAAAACAGGAACCAGAGAAGGTAAATCGGGAGGGCAATTGGGTCTTTTTTGTTTTGTTCTAATGTTCTTATTATGGGGAGTATCAGATACACAAAATTAGAGGGAATGGTATAATGGACATGGGGTCCCAATCATTCTGCTTCCCCAGCTATCAACTTACGATCTGTCTGTTTTCATCTCTACTGACTCCACCCCTTTTGAACTTAGACATCACATTTCACTGATAGGTGTTTCCTGGTGTGTCTCTTTTCAAAAATAATCACAAAACCATCATTATTATATACATATAAAATTCTAACAATTCCCTAGTCTTATCAAAATAACCAGTTAGCATTCACATTTCCCAATTTTATAAAAACATAAAAATAGTTTATTTGTTTGGATCAGGTTCCAAATAAGGGTCAGGCATCGCAGTTAGCAAATGTATGTAGGTCTTTTGATTTGTAGGTTCTTGGAAGATTGGTTAAATTGGAAAAAATGCAGAAGGTGTGAAAATAACATTCTCACTTTTTTAAAACTAGAAATAATTTTTCAGAAGCAAGAATACTAGGTGTTTTTTGTTTGTTTGTTTTTTCTTTCTGTTTTTGTTTTTGTATTTTTAACCCTGATACCCAAATTCTGGGTTCCTGTTCTGCTTTTATGGACATGGCCGCCTTGGCTGGGTTGAAGAGACTAATCTGTTTGTGCCTGGGCCCTATTGGCTGTTTGAAGGTCAGAGAATTGGGGGAGCCAGATAATTAACTTTATAATAATGAATTTCACGTAGTGTTGACAGAGAATTGCTTGCTCTCCTCTGCCTTAAGTCATCAAAGCCACGGTGGGCTCCCATTCCTACACTTGCTAGAACTGTCCTCAGCTTGTTTTCATGTAGGTTTAGAGTCCTGCACTCCAGAAAACCTAAAAGCAATGCCTGAACCACAGACTTCGTGCGTGGCGGGAGGGGGAAGGGGGTGATTTGAATGGAATGGTTATACTGACTCTGTGACTGGTGCCTGGGTTTCTCTCTGGCATCCACCAATTTCCAAATCTTAGAAATTGCTTTTTCCTGCAGCCTTTTGGGCAAGACCTACGTATTTTGTCTCAGAAGCTTTAAAACAGCCTATCTTTTCACTAAGAGCAATTCACGCTTAGGCACTTCTATCTTCAGGATGTAACCAAAGATACTCTTGAGTTGCCTGGCCGTGGTGGCTCAGTGACTGAGCGCCGACCTAGAAACCAGGAGGTCACGGTTCGGTTCCCGGTCAGGGCATATGCCCGAGTTGCGGGTTCAGTCCCCAGTCAAGGCAGAAGGCAGCTGATCAGTGATTCTCTCACAGTATCATTGATATATAAAAAGATATATAAAAACGAACAAAACAAAGATGCTTTTGAGTTTATGGATGATGGTATTCCTTACAGCTGTATGCATAAAGCCAAAAAAAGAAATGTCCCAGCGTGGCTATTTGGTAGTGGGATCACTGAGCAATTATTCAGTCGTGCCGCATAATGACGTCTCAGTCGGTGATGAACCACAGGTACGGTGGTGTATGCCACACAGCCTCGGTGTGGAATAGGCTAGCCCAGTGGTCGACAAACTCTAATTAGTCAACAGAGCCAAATATCAACAGTACAATGGTTGAAATTTCTTTTTTGAGAGCCAAATTTTTTAAACTTCTGATAGCCATGGTATTTTGTGAAAGAGCCACACTCAAGGGGCCAAAGAGCCGCATGTGGCTCTCGAACCGCAGTTTGCCGACCATGGGGCTAGGCCATCCAGGTTCCTATAAATGCACTCCGTGATGTTGGCACATGAGGAAACTGCCCAATGACACATTTCCCAAAAAGTGTCCTGTCTTTAAACGGCATGTGACTGTATTTTTATTTTCTGGTTCTTTTTCTTTTTTAAAAATTTTTATTTATTGGTTTGAGAAAGAGAGAGAAACATAGGTTTGTTGTTCCAGTTGTTTATGAATTCGTTGGTTGATTCTTGTGAACCCTGACTGGGATCAAACTCATAACCTTGGGGTATTGGGATGATGCTCTAACTGACTGAGCTACCTGGCCAGAGCTCCGACTTTTTTAAACATTGAATATCTTTTACTTCAGTAACAGGGAAAATACTGTTTTCTCTTTTAATTATTCTTCCATGTTGAATTTTCAAACCATATTTCTTTGCTTAGAGCTGTCACTTTTTTCTTTTTAAAGGTTAAAGTGAGCTCATCGATTCAGCACCCCGAAACTCCTCTGCACATTTCCGGTTTCCATCTGCCCTCGAAGGTAATTCCGTAGGCAAGCCGTGCTCAGCATGCCCACAAAATTAACTGTTTACCCTGAACCAAATTTACCTAGACTACTATTATAGTTTGTCCCGCCCTGTCTGGTCTGACTTGTATGTCACATATTTCATATCATATGTAGCCCTCTCAGCGTTCAGGTTTTTTAATTATTTCTCTTTTAACCTCAGCCTAAACCCCCACGAGAAGCCGTGGAACGTGAACACGCAGCCCGTGAGCCTGAGGACCTGGAGTTCAGTTCCTTCATGTTCTGGAGAAACCCTTTGCCTAACATTGACCGTGACCTGCAGGAGCTGCTGGTGAGGCCCTCGTTACTGCCTCCTCCTGGCGACAGACAGACAGCGCTCCAGCTGCCGCCGCCGCTCCTGCGGGCAGGGAGTTGGTGAATGCTGTTCTGTTTCAGGTTGACGAAGGCGAGGATGTTCCAAGTGAGGAGGAAGAGGATGGGTTTGAAGAAAGGAAAGATGGAGACAGTGATGACGATGGGGGGTGGATAACCCCCAGCAACATCAAGCAGATCCAGCGGGATTTTGAACAGTGCTCCGTGCCGAAGGACGTGCGGGTCGGCTGTGTGACTACAGACTTCGCCATGCAGGTGGGTGGGATGGGCATCAGTTAGCTCTGGCCTAGTGTCGGACCTGTCCCTCCGAGGTCTGGCGGTCTGAACAGAGTAACTGTTTAATGGTTCCAGAAACTTTGCCTGTGTTCTACAGTAACTTTTAATAGAGAATCATAACATGACGGAACGTTCATAGGATATTAAAGTATTTTAAAAGAATAGGTTTTTTTTTATTTTTAGAGAGAGAAACATATATATGAGAGCAAAACATTAGTTGGCTGCCTCCTGCATACCCCCCTACTGGGGATTGAGCCCAAAAACCAGGCATGTACCCTGACATAGAATCGAATTGGCAACCTTTCAGTGCGTGGGACGATGCCCAGCCAATTAGGCCACACAAGCCAGGGCTAAGACATTAAACTTTAATGTTTCCTATTCGTAATCTGTTGGTGCTTTTCTTTCACACAATGTTCTGTACTCAGTTAAGTTCTTGGGGGAAGTATAGAGGGTTTCCAGGCCAGAAATGAGTACATTTGCTCTGACAAAGTAAATGTCTGTTAAGAGGGATTGCCGAGCACAAATGCCAGCTCTTGCGGCAATTCTGGGTCCTTGCCCTACTTTCCTCATCTTGAGAGCCACCCTCAGCTTGCTTTTCCTGAGCAGAAGTCCTTTAGGACCCAGCCAAGGTTTGTGAAGTTCCTTCAGCTCGCATTACACAGACGTTAAAGGGAAACTGAGTTGTGCTCTGAGTTCAGTGCTGCTTGAACTTGTTGGTTGCAGAACGTTCTGCTTCAGATGGGGCTGCACGTGCTGGCGGTGAGCGGCATGCTGATCCGGGAGGCCCGGAGCTACGTCCTCCGCTGCCACGGCTGTTTCCGGTAAGGAGCTGGTCCTCGAACCCGTGCCCTCTGCCGAACACCCTGCTCTCTTCCTGTCCCTCCTACGAACTGCCTGAAGGAGAGCCTTGCCTTCCATACCTCATTCACACGCATACCTCATCCCACCAGCACTGAAACCTCTGGGACAGACAGACGGCCAGCGGCCGCTCGCCTGAGAAATCGAGGCAGGCGTGTTCAGTCCTTATTTTAGTGGCGGGGTTCAGGGTGTGGGTTCTGGAGCAAAGAGCCCTCCTTACTTGGTGATAAGCACTGAAATACTTACTGATGGGATGATGCCAGGGATTTTCTTGGAAATACGTAGGTAAGTGGGAGGTCCATCGTTGGGGCTTTATGGGTAGAATAGAGGCAAGGCCTTGAGGTCTGTCCTGAACACCCACACCTTCAGCCATAGCAGCTTGTATGGCGTGTCCTCTGTAATCCGTTAGTAACTTACTGGCACCTCCAGAGCCACCTCCTGGCTTACTGCCCAGGCTCACATTTGGGGACACGGTATTTAGAGCTGTAATGACCCGCCCCTTGAGAAAGCACGGTGATGTTAAGAGCATTGAATCTGGGTTTTATCTGCCCTATGAGCTATGTCATCCCGAAAGCTACCTTACCTCACCCCCTTCTGTAAATTGAAGATGGTAGCAACCTCATAGGGTCGGTGTAATAGGAAACTTGAAGACTAATGCCTGACACAGCTCAGTAAGGATTTGTTATTAAAGTAACAGCATGCTCGGTTTTCATTGTGTCATTTCCCTTTGCCTCTGAGAGATGCAGCTGCAGTTTGGTTATGCCGTCAGCATGGGGCCGGGGGGCCTTGGTCTAGGGCGTGTACAGTGCTTCGGGGGTCCGTACGGAGTTAGTGTTTAGACTCCCCGTTTCTTAACGTTCCCTCTTCCTCTTGAGTCGCGGGGCTCATCTTGTGCCCCGGGGACAGGGTTTGCTGCCTGTGGCTCCAGTCCGAAGCGTCTGCTCTATGTCTCCAGGACAACCTCCGACATGAGCCGCGTGTTCTGCTCGCACTGTGGAAACAAGACCCTGAAGAAAGTGTCTGTGACCGTCAGCGACGACGGGACCCTGCGCATGCACTTCTCCCGCAACCCCAAGGTGCTGAGCCCGCGGGGCCTCCGGGTGAGTGGCGGCTCAGCCTCCAGCCGCAGGCCTGAGGCTGGGAGAGCGAGACCTCTTGGCGCCGGCATGGAAACGAACAGAGGACAGAAATCCTCCTGGTTTCTGCAGGATAGTCTCTGAAAGCCTGCACTCACTGCGGGGGGGGGGGGGGGGGGGGGAGAGGGGGGGGGAGGGGGGAGGCTCTGAGGAGCTGGCAGATTAATGAGAAATAGCCAGTAACTCCAGGCAGTGGGTGATAAGGGGCCACTAGAGGGCGTGGTTCACAGCATGGCGGGCAGGTTTGTGCGGGTGGTTGGGGTCGGGCAGCATTTCCAGAAGCCGGTGAGCCAGAGAGGAAGAGGTGTTACATGCTCGGCACAGAAGAGAGGCCCGGCCGGATCCACGCAGCCGTGCGTTTGTTCTCAGGACTCAGAGGAGGGATGGGAGACAGAGGACTACGGGGGCGTCGCCAGCCTGGCGCTGAGTTCTCCAAGGGGGAGCTGCCTCTAACAAGCGAGAGGAAATTTTCCTTTTACTTTGTATTTTCAAAGTCATTTCAGATGTGTAGAAAAGTTTCAAAAATGACACAACTAATTCCCACCCACCCTTCCCAGATTTCACAAAGATTTTAATCTTTGAGGCCATATTCCAACTTTGCCACAGATTTCCTGTGAGGTTATCATTAGTGATAAGTAACTTACGGAAAGATACTCTATCACTATGTAAATACTGTTTCTCATCCAACTCTTAACTCATGGTTAAAGTTACCTGAGTCCGTTTTTACAGGGATGGTTGCCAAATGGTGATTTTCTAACTCCATCATTCTTTCTACATTAGCTGGCATTCTGCTGTAAAGAGGAATTTCCCCTCTGAGTGTATTCATCTATGTGAGCGTGGGCTGTGGACTTTTGTTTTAGTCTTCAGGCTGTGATCCAGCACCATCCTGTTTACTTAGATGCTCACACTGTGTATAGAGGCCCTTCAGCCTGGCTTCTGGTCCCAATTATTTGAACATTTTTCACTTTCCAGCACAGCAAGATGTTCCGATTCTCATACTGCCCTTGCCCTGGAATCGGCCATTTCTCTGAGCAGCTCTGGGTCATCTTTATGAAGAACCTATTTTAGAAGCAAATATCTGGACATCAGTGTGCTCATGTCCTAGGGTGTCATCCTAGGGTTGCATCTCTGTCCAGGTAGACAGAGACGGTGAATATATACATGTATATAAATACACATGTATTAAAGAATTGAATTTATAATTTCAGTTTCAACTGAACACTACAGAGTTCATTCTAGGCCCCTCTCTCATCTGTGAGTTGAGGTGAGGGTCAAGTGGGAAGACGCATGTCATGTGCTTAGCAGGTAGCAGGCGGTGAACGAGACTCCATCGATGTCATCCGCCTGCATCCAGGGCTGTCAGATAAGCTGACGTTCACGGGATCTGACTTGTATGAATGTGGGTCACCGTCCTTCTAATGGCCTTCCTCCTCCTCCTTTGCAGTATTCACTTCCCACCCCCAAAGGGGGCAAATATGCCGTCAACCCTCACCTGACTGAGGACCAGCGCTTCCCTCAGCTGCGGCTCTCCCGCAAGGCCCGGCAGAAAACGGACGTGTTTGCCCCCGACTACGTGGCCGGGGTGTCTCCCTTTGTGGAGAACGACATCTCCAGCCGCTCAGCTACCCTGCAGGTCCGAGACAACACTCTGGGGGCCGGGAGGAGACGGTTGAACCCCAACGCGTCCAGAAAGAAGTTTGTGAAGAAAAGGTGAAGTGCAAGTTCCACAGGCAGACTGGTCAGCTGCTGCAGCTGCCACGTTCAAGGATCTCATTCCACCTTCCATCTGGAGGGAAAGAGCAGGCCCGGCTCCTGCCTGCTTCCCGTGGCTCCTGTGGAGGGTGGCTGGGTCTGCGGTTGGACTGGGCCCTAGAGCACACGGAGCTGGGGTTCCTGCCACGTGGAAGGGGGTTGCTGAAAACAGCCGTGCCCTGGAGGGAATCTTCAACCTCGAAAGAAGCAAACTTCCAAGTAATAATATTTTTCTAATAAATGTGGTTTGTAAACTATACGTTTTCATTGAATAGGCCAAATTGAGGTATTTAGCAAGATCAAGCATTTAGATTTATCTTTTTGAGGAAGGAATATACTAAGTTGGTTAAAATAAAGTGTGACCACTTTCTCTCTCTCTCTCTTGTTTTAAAGCATTTCAGTCATTCCGAAAAGTTGAGTGTTGTGAACGCCCATAGTGCCTTTCACCGAGCGTCCCCGTTAGCATTTCTTCTCATTTGCTCTTTATCTTTCTGTGCACACAGTACAAAGTATCTCCTAGGAAAGGGTGTTCTTTTATGCAACCAGAGTACAATGATCAAGTTTCAGAAGTTTGATACATTATTATATAAAAATTCACATTTTACTATATTGTCCCCAATGCTGTCCTAGCATTTCCCCTCAATTCTAAAGTTTCGTTTGGGTTTGGCAGAGAGTTTCCTCAGTGGGATTAGAGCTTCACCTTGGGCAGGAATGCCACCTGAGTGGTAATTAGGTCCTCAGTGCATTGCACTGAGTGATACCTGGTAAAATGAACCTGCTGAGTCCCGAGATTTCTTTTTAGTTCTTACATTGATAGTATATACACAACAAGCTCTCTTCAAAAGTTTCTTAAATTCAATTTTTTCCTTTACGGTACTCTTATCCATTTGGTATATAATTAACTTGTTAATTATTTTGCTTAAAATTCAATTTAATATTTTCTTTTTTTAAATCTTCACTTAAGAATATGTTTTTATTGATAAGAGAGACAGAAAACCTCAGTCAGTCGCCTCCTGCACATGTCCCAACCAGGAATCAAACCCACAGCACTCCAACTGAGCCACCTTGCCAGGGCAATGTCCTTTTTAAAATATATACATTTATTGATTTCAGAGAGAAACATCAATGATGAGGGAGCATTGGTTGGCTGCTTCCTGCATGTGCCCTTGACAGATTCAAGTCTGGGACCCTTCAGTCCACAGGCCGATGCTTTATCCACTGAGCCAAACCAGCTAGGGCCTATTTTTTAAAATACGAAAACACAGTTCCAAAGATTATATATATGTATTCAATATGCAGGAATCTGTGCACCGGGCCACTGGTATAAAGACCTAAAAAGGATGCTGATAGTAACCTATATTTTCCCCCTCTGGAAATCCCTCCATATCAGCTCCTAGGGATCTACCTCACTCTCTTTACCAGCTGCCTAGTACTTGGCTGTGAAAAGCTACCAATTCAAGCACTTAACCATATCATAAGGGTCTATATTAAGAACTTCATCTACGTTAGCCCTTGAATCCATAGAACATTGTGATGAGCCACCAGGACTGCTATCCCCAGCTGCCTTGAGCTACCAGAGGTGAAGGGTCTTGGTCAAAGTCACGCAGCCTCAGTCTCCAGGCCAAGTTTTCAACTTGACCCAGCTGTGCTTTTATGCAACAAATTTACTATCAACCATCATAAAAAATGGGCTGAACACTTTGTGTCTCCCCTCACCCACCATCCTTGTTAAACCCATACGTGGCTGCCACAATGGCACTAGCTGGGTGTCTGGAGAGGATTTCCAGAAGGAAAAGGTAGAATGCAGTTAAGAAGCCACAGCGCTGGGAGACCAGGGTGGCTAGGATTCACAGGACAGGGTATTGGAGAGGAGAGAGCACTGCAGACAGCTTGCTTACAGGTCTGCACCGGGATCCCTTGAGTCCTCAGCTCGGTTTTGAGAAAGAGCTTCCTGAAGCTGGGCAAAGAAAGACCCCAAAAAGGCAGAGAAAAGACTCCTCGGAGTTCGCACAGGGCCAGGAACAGCTCAGGTTCCCACGGATCAGAGTGAAAAAAAATTTTTTTTTAATATATTTTATTAATTTTTTACAGAGAGGAAGGGTGAGAGATAGAGAGCTAGAAACGTCGATGAGAGAGAAACTTGACTAGCTGCCTCCTGCACACACCCCTACCAGGGATGTGCCCGCAACCAATGTACATGCCCTTGACGGGAATCGAACCCAGGACCCTTCAGTCCACAGGCCGACACTATCCACTGAGCCAAACCGGTTTCAGCTAGAGTGAAAACTTTCTTAACTCAGAGGCATATGGCGGGTACTCCAGAGTGGGAACAACGACCCCGACCAAAGGCTGCTCTGCTCCTGCCCACAAAGCAGGACACACGGGGACATGGAGAGTCCCACATACGGGCGTGTGCTTTGTGCAAGTGATTGTGAGACCAGAGGGCAGGACAGGATAGGGTTTACAAAGGAAGAATCATTTTTCCACTAATCCCAAGGAGGACCTGGTCCCTGCAGGATCCTTGGCTGGTAGTCATGGGAACCACAGAAGACAACAGATGCCCAGGTCCCCAGACAGGCCTGAGCGTGGCTCTGAGCTACGGTAGTAATTCCACAGCTCAGAGAAAAGCAAGAGAGCTTTGGGGACTTCTTGTGCAAAAAAAGCAACCAGACATATGGAAGCAGGACCTTAGCAGGTGACTAATGAGGCTGTTTGTGTTCTTTTGGGAATGGGGGATGGGGACGGGGGGCGCTCCACTCCTGAGGATTCTCCTACCCCTGCTCTTTGTTTCTAAGATAATGAAGGCTGTCAGCAGAGCTTCCTACAGCTCTGGGTGCTGGCCTGCTCCCTGGGGACTAAGGGGAGGCCTTGAGAACTGTTTTCAGTTGACACACAACGGCTGGGACACACATACTCCTCTTGGCACAGAGGCCTGCTCAGATAAGACCACGGAAAACGGACAATCTTAAAGTGACAGCAAATAAAGGCTGGAGGGACCTTTAAGGCAATGCAGCCCAAACCCAGATTTCTTTGCCCCCGCCCCCAAAACCAGATTTTTAAAGTTGAGGAAACCAAGGCTCAGAGAGTTCTGAAATTCTAGAGCTAGACTCAAGAATTCTGAAAGCAAGTACCAGCTGGGAGCTGGCTCTGGAGTCCGAGGGCCTGAGTTCAAATCCTGAACTACACCATTGACTAGTGATGTAGCTACAAGTCACATAACTACTTGGTGTAAAATAATTTTATTCCTTACCTCACATCATCCTCAAAAACTATTTCAAAGTGGATCAAAAACCTAAATAGCCGAGACCGGTTTGGCTCAGTGGATAGAGCTGTTGGCCTGCGGACTGAAAGGTCCCGGGTTCGATTCCGGTCAAGGGCATGTACCTTAGTTGCAGGCACATCTCCGGTGGGGGGTGTGCAGGAGGCAGCAGGTCGATGTTTCTCTCTCATCGATGTTTCTAACTCTCTAGCCCTCTCTCTTCCTCTGTAAAAAATCAATAAAATATATTAAAAATAAATAAATAAATATAAGAGCTAAGACTAGCCCTAACCTGTTTGGCTCAGTGGATAGAGCATCCGCCTGCAGACTGAAAGGTCCCAGGTTTGATTCCAGTCAAGAGTATGTACCTTGGTTGTGGGCACATCCCCACAAGGAGGTGTGGAAGAGGCAGCTGATTGACGTTTCTCTCTCAAACATGTTTCTAACTCTCCCTTCCTCTCTGTAAAAAAAATCAATAAAATATATTTTTTAAATAATAATGAAGAAAATACTGCCGAATTTGCTGCTAAAGCAATAGGTGACCCACAAAATCCCTAGGTTCTGTGGCCAAAGTTGTTCTCTATACTAGGAGAGCCCCTGCTAATCTGTTAGTGGAGCAATAGCCAACGTCACTTGCTACCTTTGGACGGACAGACAGTTCCTGGGGAGGCTGGATCTGAACTACAGAAGATCACTGAGTAAGCACATTGGCGTTAAAACAGTGACTCCTCCAAAGGAATCTTTGACTTATTTAATTCTGGTTGCTTTGGGTCTTGAGAGCCATAGCTTCAAAGTGCATTCCAGACATGGACAATCCAATACCCTGCTTGTTATAATCATACTATTTCCTTGGTGTGCTGTATCCTCTCAAGTTTTATTTAAAAAAAAATAAATAAAATAAATATATATATATATATTATTGATTTCAGAGAGGAAGAAAAACACCACATGACTTCACTCATTTGTGGATAATAAAGAACATTATAAACTGATGAACCAAAAGATAGATATAAAGATAGTATATCAACAAGCAGACTGTCAAATTACAGCAGGGAGGGGAGGAAGATCTGGGGGAGATAATAGATCAACCGAAGGACTTTTATACATGCATATAAGTACAACCAATGGACATAAAACTCTGGGGAGGGAGGGGATGTGAGGGACGGAGGGAGGGGGGGCAAAAAAAAAAAAAATATATATATATATATTTGAAAAAAAAAAAAAAAGACTGAAGAAAGGACCTCTTTTCCACTATTTCGAATGCTTAATAGCTAATTTCATAACATCACATGTACCATTTTAAGAAAGTGATGATTTAGTGGGAAATTAATGCTTTGCATCTGTATACTGTAAATATAAATGACAATTTGTTTGAAATGTGTAACTAGGATATGCAAAAGATAATAACTCACAATGTTTATATTAAATATTACTTCAAAAAATATATATATATATATTATTGATTTCAGAGAGGAAGGGAGAGGAAGAGAGAGATGGAAACATCAATGATGAGAGAGAATCATTGATCGGCTGCCTCCTGTATGTCCCCTACTGGGGATGGAGCCTGCAACCTGGGCATGTGCCCTTGACTAGAATAGAATCAGTCCGCAGTTGGACGCTCTATCCACTGAGCCAAACCAGCTAGGGCTCAAGTTTTATTTTATTTATTTATTTTTTTAAAATATATTTTATTGATTTTGTACAGAGAGGAAGGGAGAGAGATAGAGAGTTAGAAACATCGATGAGAGAGAGTCATCGATCAGCTGCCTCTTGCACACCCCCTTACTGGGGGATGTGCCTGCAACCAAGGTACATGTCCTTGACCAGAATCGAACCCGGTACCCCTCCGTCCCCAAGCCGACCATCTATCCATTGAGCCAAAGCGGTCTCGGCTAGGGCTCAAGTTTTAAATATGCATGTATAGTCACTAACCGTCAAGCAAGTGATCCCCCTAAGACTAGAACGTCAGAAAAGGATCAAAGAGAATGACTTGGAGAATGTTAGCCCCGTGTTGTGACCTGTAAATGCCACGCCTGTGAAACAGCAGGCTTTGAGAAGCCCAGGGCATCCGCTGGAAGTAGTGCTGAAGGCGTCCTTCCATTTTTTATCACATCCCTCGGGCCGGAGTCTGATAAAGAGGGTGGAATTGTTAAAAGCAAGACCATAGGCCCAAACTAGAATCCACGCATGGCAAGCCTCACATCACCAAACCCAGGCTTACTGAGAGTTTGGACTTTCCCAGAAATGGAATCTTACACTCTTAAGCCTGTCAATCAAGAACTGCCTGGTTGTGTAACCTGCCTGGTAGACCCCTGCCAAAGGAAGCTGACTCTGTAATAACCAGCTGGCGTCGTTGCCTCATCTAACTTCCTTGTTCCCGCTCCCTTCTGCCGACAAACGGCCTTGGTTTTGTGCAGCTCCTGCTAACTCCTTTACACCTGCCAGCCTGATGCTGGCTGAGGCATAAACTGTTGTGTAAAGACAATAAGATCTTTAACATGTACTCCATTTTTAACAACATAAAGAATCAAAATTCCCTGACCAGGTGGACTTATTGGATAGAGCTTCGGCCTGCGGGATGGGGGATCCCGGGTTCGATTCTGGCCAAGGGCACATGCCCAGGTTGTGGGCTCGATCCTCAGTGCGGGGCGTGCAGGAGGACACTTCTTGGGGAAGTGTCTCTCTTTTTTTTTTTTTTTTTTTTTAAATATATTTTATTGATTTTTTTGTACAGAGAGGAAGGAAGAGAGAGAGAGAGTTAGAAACATCGATGAGAGAGAGTCATCGATCAGCTGCCTCTTGCACACCCCCTACTGGGGATATGCCCGCAACCAAGGTACATGCCCTTGACCGGAATCGAACCCGGGACCTTTCAGTCCCCAAGCCGACGCTCTATCCATTGAGCCAAACCGGTCTCGGCGAAGTGTCTCTCTTATTGATGTTTCTATCTCCCTCTCCCTTCATCTCTGAAATTAATAAAAAAAATATATATATTCAAAAAAAAAAGAATCAGAATGAACTGATTTCTCATTTTGCTTTCGAGTCAACATGATTTGGCACTACTGCCTAATCCTGCCTTTTTTAACATTTGTCTATTTTGTGCAGCTTGATTTTCCCCCCCAGCAAATTGGTTCTGGAAAAACGTTACATTAATCATTCTTTATTCTGATTCTTGAGTTTTCTGACACTCCCTTAAATTGTGCCCACAGGAACCTCTCCCTAAGGATCCTGCATACTCTCTACCTCCATCCCCACTGAAACTTCTTATCATTAGCACTTTTTCGGATGGCTACACTTTGAAGTTCTATTTCTTTTCCCTTCGCCTTTTGACAGTATGTCTCCTCTCTGTTCTGGAGGACGAAGACTCTACGATAATTTGAATTTTGCAGATACAACTTTTTACTCGGTTCTGTTCAGTTACACAAAGTGGGGCATTGTGTAAGGCCACTAACCTCGACTGTCTGTCTGTCGTGGCTGCTCCCACCCCCTCCAACCTTGGACTAGCTCCTGGGCGGAGGAAAGGGGGGGGCCTTAGTTCCCAGATTGTGAGGGGCAGGGATTGGCATCGGCACACACAGTCCCGAGGGCAGCATCCGGGCCTCGCAAAGGAAGAAAAGGCTTTCTCGTTGCCCTCAGCACCCAAACCCCAAGTCACAGTGAGTCAGCGAATCTGGAGCTCAAGGGCCGCGGCCGCGCACCTCCCTTTTGGCTCCCCGATCCAAGAGCTGGGCTGTTTCCCTTCGGGCAGAGAGAGGCCAAAAGGCGTGCCCTCCTTTCCCTCCTACCCCCCCCCACCCAAGTCCGGCACACCTCCCACTCCCACCCACACCCAGGAGACCCCTCTCACCTCCCACCCCAGGCACCCTCCTCCCAAGTCCCGAGGTCCCTCCTCCAGGCTCCCCTTTCCTTCCCGGAGCCCCGCCCTGCATCCCAGGGCGCGGGTGGCCGGCTCCGCCTTTCCTGGATACCTGGCCTGTGTGGCCCGGGCAGGGCCAGGCCAGAGATAAAGCAGCCCCAGCTCGGCTGGCAGCACCCACAAGCCTCCGGAGATCTTGCCCCGCCACCAGCCCCGCAACCAGCGCCCCGCCGGAGCCATGGCCGGTGAGTGGCCCCCCCCTCCGAGCGCGCAGCGCCCGCCCGGTTCCTAGCGGCTCGGCCCCGAGTTCTCTTTCTTGACTCAAAACTATTAGGGTCCTGGGATGCGCCCTGGCCACATTGGGCGAGAGGAGCTCCTGTGTCTATGCCACCCACCCCCGTACATCGCGGTGCGCGTTTAGGAGGGACGACCTCGCGGCCGAGGTCTGCAAAGGAGCCTGGGCTGGGGGCTCGCTTCCATCCGCAGAGCGCGTGCAGGCGGCCGGCTGGACCTCACGCCGCAGGCGCTGACCAGTCTGTGCGTCCCGCAGCCCCGGAGCCGCCCCGCCCCCTCCCCCCTCCCTGGGCCCCGGGGTGCAGGGCGGCCACTCAGTCCCCACAGCAGCCCCTCTGGAGCCTTCCTGCAGCACCACGTCCCGGGAACTGGGTGCCTTGCTTCTCCCTATGAGGCTAATGCCAATTGGCTGGAGGTCTGTTTTATCATCTCTCTTGAGGTGAATTCTTTTTTTTTTTTTTTTTTTTTTTTTTTTTAACTTTTATTTTAGAGAGAGAGGCGGAGCGAGAGAGGGGTGGGGAGGGAGGGAGAGGGAGAGAACATCCAGGTGTTGTTCCACTTATTTCTGCACGCACTGGTTGATTCTTGTATGTGCCCTGACCAGGATCCAAGTTTGGCACACGGGATGACACGCTAACCCAGCGGTCGGCAAACCCATTTGTCGACGGAGCCAAATATCAACAGGACAACGATGGGAATTTCTTTGGAGAGCCACATTTTTTTAAACTTAAACTTCTTCTAGTGCCACCTCTTCAAAATAGACTCGCGCAGGGTGTGTGGTATTTTGGGGAAGAGCCACACTCAAGGGGCCAAAGAGCCACATGTGGCTCACGAGCCGCGGGTTTGCCGACCACGGCTCTAACCAAATGAGCCACCTGGCCCGGGCAGCTGTACTTCTTTGCAAATACGATATCCTTCCCGTTTGCGTCTTCTCTCTGTTTTTGTGTTTTATGGTAAAAGGCGTGCCTCTAGCTAAAGCAAGGCATAGATCGCCTGGCTTCCTCCTTTTTCTGGGGAGCAGCGTTATGGTTTACTACTTAGGAAATGCGTGTTAATATTGATAAGAAGTAAATAATGTGTGTATTGATAACAAGTAAGCCAAGGGACTAAAAACTGATCAAGCCGTGTTCGGCAAACACTGATGTGACGAACGCAAAGGTGGACCACGAAGAAAAGGCGAGTCCGCGCTGAAGGGACTCACCTTTCTCCCGGGCGTGCTCAGTCCGCGAGGCGAGGAGGAAGGCGGTGGGAATTGGTGGAGGCAGCTTCAGGAATTCCTTTCCACTTCCCCAGGCCTTCCAAAGCAGATAAATCCAAAGCAGATAAGTCACTCTCATAGCATTTAAGTCCTCATCAAACGTATATCCACCGAGTCAGGATGCAGAGAGTCGGAAACGCCAGGACCAGGCCGGGAGACCCTCTTTCTTGGCGTCCGGAGGTCCGAGGCGCACGCCTGGCAGAATTTACCGTCACGGGCACCGCGGCCTACGCCAGGTGTGGCCCCTAAGGAAGGCGGGCAGAGAACTGAAGGCTTACGCATGCTTTTCTAGTTCATTCTCTTCAAACAAGACAAAACGGTTGCAGGTGCTTTCTCTCCGAGCTCCGCCCACGGTCGCCCCTGTTCAGCATTAGCAAGGGGGAGACAGGGGCGCCAATGATTAGGAGAAATGGTGATGGGGAGCTTCCTGTCCCGGGTACGCCTCCCCACTCCCTCCGCATTGTATTATAGCACAGATTCATTGATTTCTCTACACTTTTAAATTATTCCAGCTTCCCCACGCACTATGTGAATTCGGGTAATTACTTGCTTTACTTTTCCATGCGCAACGGTTTTCTCATCCATAATATGGGGATACTAATTGTATCTTCCCCTGAGGGTTACCGTGACAATTGAAAAAAAAAGAGTGCAAAGCAGTTAGAACAGTGCCCAGCACAAAATAAGCACTGGTACCTGCTGTTTAGTGCAAAAGCAAGGCGTGCTTATTCTAACATCATCACTGATACAGATGTGGCCAAGAAAAAGTTCCTCTTTCCCATCAACCCTTTTGTCATCTCTTACTTATCTAAGAAAACCATTAATAGTTTCGTATGATCATTCCACATCTTTTCCCCCCCTCACACCAATATAGTGCAAATCTACCTGCATGTACAAGGGTGTCTCCAAAAATGTATACACATACTTGGAATAACTATAAAGGCAGTGTTTATTAAAATACTAGGGCCCCAGTGCACCAATTCATGCACCTTGAAAGGAACTGTGGGCCATGAGCACCTGGCCCCTCTCACCACAGACCCTCCTCCCCCCACCAGTCCCCTGTCTGCTAGCAGCCCCACTCCTGCTGCCGCTCCCATGTGCTGCCAGTGCCAGCCCCAATTGCTCTGTGCCATCAGTGGGTGTGAGCTGCAGCTGCTGCCCTGATCGCCCCTCAGGAGCAGGGGAAGGTGGAGAAGTCCTTAGGGGCAATTAGGGCGTCAGCCGCTGCTTTTACCTGCTGAAGGTGCTGCTGGCAGCGGGTGTGAGTGGTGGCTCTGGCGACAACAGCAGATGCAAGCGGGGCCAGCGCTGGCTGCAGGTGCAAGCACCCCTCACGGGAGCAAAGAATTTTCAGTGACCACCAGAGGCTCACTCCGATGACACCATCGGCATCCCGCTGTGTCTGGTGTTTCTGCTCATCTGCTCCACCATCCTGCTGCTGCCACTGCCCTCCATGTTCCATGCTCTGCTGCCTGCTGCCAACGCCCACCATGTTCCACACACGCCTCCTGGTGGTCAGCGCATGGCATAGTGACTGATTGTCTGATTGTTCAGTTGTTCCATTGTTCAGTTTATTTGCATATATAGGGTTTTATATATATTTCATTTCCACTTAACAGGTGTCAGCTGTAAAAGTGTGCTATATTTTTTAGGAACAACCTATATGTAGTTTCTTTTTTAAAAAAATAAAAATGGATTCACATTCACTTCATTCTATCAGTTAATATATTTTGGATATCTTTCTGGGTCCCTGTATATATAATATATAGGTAATTCATTTTTTTTTTTTTTTACATAATTTGATTTCAGAGAGGAAAGGAGAGAGAGAAAGAGATAGAGATAGAGATAGAGAGAGAGAGAGAGAGAGCGCACATCATTGATTGGCTGCTTCCTGCATGCCCCCTAGTGGGGATCAAGCCCAAATCCTGGGTATGAGCCCTTAACTGGAATCGAACCCAGGACCCTTCAGTTTGAAGGCTGATGCTCTATCCACTGAGTCCAACCAGCTAGGGCTCATTCTGGTTAACAGCATAATATTCTGTAGAATGTATATACCATAATTTATTTAAATGCTCCCCAAAAATAGACAATAGGGTTATTTCTGATTTTTGCCAATGGCAAGAATGGGACAGTACACATCCTTGTTCCTGTGTCCTGATGCTTTCAGTCTGGAGAACAAAGTCCCTGAGGTTGGAGGGCTAGATCAAAGGTTTATGTGCCTTTAAAATTCTAAGAGTTTCACCCTGATGACTTCCTTAAAGGCTGAGGCCATTGATATTCCCGCTGGCAATGCGCCAGTGTTCCTGCAATCTTGATAGCCCTCGATGTCACTTGTCCTAAGTTGTTTTGCCAATCCGATAGGCTGGTAACTCATTTTTTTTTTTAACCACATGCTTTGGGTGTGTCAAAATAGGCAGAAAAGCATTGATCGTACTGGCTCACTCAGAAAAGACATCCTTCAACTACGCCATGAAGGAAGCGGCTGTGGAGGCTCTGAAGAGGAAAGGGTGGGAAGTCACGGTGTCGGACCTGTATGCCATGAACTTCAACCCCGTCATCTCCAGGAAGGACATTACAGGTGGGAGCCACTCTCCACTCTCCCCTTTGGTTAGGTCTTCGTGGAACTTCTCGCCCGTGGGTTCTCTGGTCCCACCCTGGCCCCAAGGCCTCACCCCCTCTTTTTCCTCTCTAACTGCAGGTAAACTGAAGGACCCCGAGAACTTTAAGTATCCTGTCGAGTCTACTCTCGCTTACAAAGAAGGCCGCCTGAGCCCAGATATTGTAGCTGAACAAAAAAAGCTGGAAGCTGCGGACCTTGTGATTTTTCAGGTGCGGTAGGACATCAGAAGGGTGTTCTTTCTTCTAAATCTGCACCCGAGGATATGTTTTTATAAATCTGAGAGAGAGGAAAGGGGGAGAGGAGGGAGGGAGAGAGAAAAAGAAAAACATTGATCAGTTGCTTCCCGGATCCTCCCTGAGCAGGGATTGAACCCATAACCTGAGTATGTGTCCAGACTGGGAATCAAACCCACAATCCTTTTGGGCATTGGACAATGCTCTGACCAATGGAGCCATATTGGCCTGGGTGGAACATTTGAATTCTTATTGTCCTAGACCTGCCATCTAATTAGCAATGTGATCTTAGAAAAGTCACCCCCTTTACTACATTCTCTGTTAAAAAAAAAAAAAAAAAGGTCATTGCTTCAAATGTACAGCATTACACAGATTTACAGATGCTGTGAATCAGACTGTGTTACTCTGAAAATAGGAATGTGACTTCAAAGATGAGGTGTCAGTCTTATTCTTTTTTTTTCAATTAGTGATTTAAAATTTTTTTCAATTCCAGTTGACATTCAATATTATATTAGCATAGTTTCAGGTATACAGTATAGTGGTTATCCTATCTAATAATGAGGGAATATGCTAACCGGTCTTCACACCATCACAAAGATGGCAGCACCCACAGCCAGTAAGGAGGGAATATGCTAATTGACTGCCCCACCCTCAAAGATGTCAGTGCCCAGAGCCAATAAGGAGGGAATATGCTAATTTACTGCCATGCCCTCAAAGACGGCAGTGCCCACAGCCAATAAGGAGGGAATATGCTAATTTACTGCCATGCCCTCAAAGATGGCAGTGCCCACAGCCATAAGATGGTGGGGTCAAGTTCCCTCAACCCTGCCAGGGCGCCTGCCTCTGGAGTCCCCCAGTTCCCTCAGTCCCCCAGCTGCCCAGGGTCAGCCCAAGGTGCAGGCAAACCTTGGATGGCGACTGCCCAGCTGCCCAGGGCTGCCTGAGGCTCAGGTAACCAGGGCCAGCCGAGGCTTGCGCTGCCAGCAGTGGCAGCAGCAGAGGTGTGATGGGGCGTCGCCTTCCCCTGATCGCCGGGTCACCTCCTGCCCTTGAGGGCTCCCGGACTGAGACGGGGCAGGCCGGGCTGAGGGACCTCCCCTCCAGTGCATGAGTTTTCATGCACTGGGCCTCTAGTAGACATATAACTTATGAGGTGATTCCCCCCCATAAGTCTAGTACCCACCTGGGACTATACTTAGTATTACAAGATTATTAACTACATTTGCTATGCAGTACTTTACATCCTCATGACTATTTTGTAACTGCCAATAGGTACTTCTTAATCTCTTCACCTTTTTACCCAGCTTCTCCACCCTCTTCCCATTGGCAACCATCAGTCTGTTGTCTGTAACTATGAGCCTATTTTATTTTTTTCATTAATTTTGTTCTTTAGATTCCACATGTAAGTGAAATCACATGGTGTTTGTCTTTGTCTTATGTCACTTAGCACAATACCCTCTAGGTCAATCCATGCTGTTGCAAATGGTTAAGGTTTCATTCTTCTTTATGGCTAATATTCCGTTGTGTATATGTGCCATATCTTCTTTATCCGCTTTTCCATTGATGGATACTTAGGTTCCTTTCGTATCTTGGCTATTGTAAATAATGTTGCAGCAAACAAATTAGTGATTCCTCCTGGGACCTCTCGGTGAAGTCTGCCTTCTCCCCCTCTCTGTGAGCGTCTGGCCAGTTTGTGGAGTGATACCAGCTGATATGCATCGACCTGATTACTTTGTTTCAGTGGCAAACCATGGCCTTCCTTCTGGAAGCCACCTCCCCATTTAGCAGTCAGTGCTGGAAATGCATATGCCTCTCGTAAACCACCTTTTTTTTTTATTTATTTAAATACCAGATTGTACTCAATGACTTCGTTTCTGTCGATTCCAACTAGCTTCTTGATCTTGAACATGGAATGTACATGACAGTGGAAACATCAAAGAAGGGTGATACTGGCTGTGGCTTTTGCAATTATTCAGCCATCTGCAAAGAAGCCAACCTCTGCAGTCTCCTTCTACCAGAGGCCCGATGCCATGAATCAAAGCCACAGCCATTAGCCACAAAGGATGCCTTCTTGGTTGTCTACTGTGTCTTTCTTATCCTAGCACAGCCAAGGCAGCAGCAGTAGCAGCTCTCAATCCCGCATCTCAGGATCACTCTATTTTAGAATTGGAAAGGATTTCGGTGGTCTTTTTTTAAAATATATTTTTTATTGATCTCTTACAGAGAGGAAGGGAGAGAGATAGTTAGAAACATCAATGAGAGAGAAACATCCATCATCTGGCTCCTGTACACCCCCTACTGGGGATGCTTTTGACCGGAATCGAAGCTGGGACCTTTCAGTCTGCAGGCCTACGCTCTATCCACTGAGCCAAACTGGTTTCGGCAACTTCGGTGGTCTTTTAATTTAGCTTCTGTCCAATGTATATGTTTTCCTTACTATCCTGTCAGTACAACTGTGCAAGTTGTCACCACAAAATAGCAACATACTAATGGGCAATGTAAGCACTGTATATTTATTAAAACAGTTTCCTGACAGATGACAGGAAAAGTCTAATTCTAGAAAAATAAACCTACTATGTATGATAGGCTTTCAACGTGGGAATAACGTGTCCTGAGAAGGAGTGCTTTAATTCATGTCAAGGTGCCATATGGGCTAGTCCCCTGCTCAGTTTACTCACTTCTCCAACTTGAGGGAGAGTCAACTCTTAAAACCCTGCAAGCCAACCATGTCTATTATCAACTTGGACTGCAGCACATCCAAGAGAAGCTAATCTACTTGCCTAGACTCCCTATCTATCCGTTCTTCCTAAAGCTGCAGACCTGGCCCCCTGTCAGAGGGAGAGCCATAAATGTAAGACTAGGAAACGCTGCTAGGGATCATTCAAGCCCCATCTTTTATAGATGAAGCACATGGTCAGGGGTTTGTGTGGCAAAGGTCAGGCATCAAGTTAGTGACAGATTCAGGGTGAGAACACAACTCACTTTCAATCCGGTGTCCTTTCTATTCTAAATCCTATTTCCTTAGTCCCTTTTCTATAGGTCAGCAATCCTTCAAAGGGAGTGCTTCAATTCCTACAAATTCCTTCTGTGTCCTAGATGTTTTCCATCTGGGCTCGTTCCATTGCCTTTGCCTTTAAATCATGAGTCAAGAAGAAGAAATACTGATACAATTCTTGCTCTGCTTTTATCAGGACAAAAGTCCCAACAAGACTTTCTCATGGGAATTCCCCGATAAACCTTAGTCACACTGATCATTTGTTTGCAAATCTGAGTGGTTCTGTTTATTCTGACAGGATTTTTACATTTGTGAGCACAAGGTACATGCTTCATTTAAAAAAAATTTTTTTTTTTTTATTGATTTCAGAGAGGAAGGGAGAGGGACAGAGAGATATAAACATCAATGATGAGAGAGAATCATTGGCTACCTCCTGCCTGCCCTCTACTGGGGGTGGGGTCAAGCCCGCAACCTAGGCATGAGTCCTTGGGATCCTTTAGTCCACAGGCCTACGCTCTATCCACGGAGCCAAACCAGCTAGGGCTGTTTCCTATTTTTGATACCAAACCTTTAAAACAAGCACTTGAGAAAATATTGACTTAGGTATCACACATTGGTCTGGAGTCTATGCTGTCTTAATCTGCATTGCAAACATGATCTCATAGAAACAAATATCTGTACGTGGCCTTCTTCAGACCTAGCCAACATTTGTACCTTTAGGTAGAAACAGGAGTGTCAGGCTGACTGACCAACGATGATCTTTGTCTCTAAATGCACTGTCTCCTCCAGAAAGAATGCGATGGGGCCTGAAGAAAGGTTCGCCCTCATTGGGGACCCTGAGCCTTCTTCTGTGCTGGGGCCGGCTCGACCTGACCTTTGTCGCTTCCTTCCACAGTTCCCACTGCAGTGGTTTGGAGTCCCGGCCATCCTGAAAGGCTGGTTTGAGCGAGTGCTCATCGGGGAGTTTGCTTACACATACGCTGCCATGTATGACAAGGGACCTTTCCGGGTAGGTGGATGGTTCTGCTTTTTCTCACATCTGGGTGCTGGGGAGATTCGGTCCTGAGGCAGAGTCCTGAGCACAATTAGATACTACCGTCCGGCTCCAGGTCCCTTTGGGAGAGATGCATAATTAACAGACATTTTGACATGATGTTTAGGATTTGTTTTAAAATACCCTGGGGAAGAGAGGTAAGGGGGTTAAGATAAAACTAGAGTGGATATCTGCCGAGGGGTAAGGCTGGGTGGTAGATGCATCATTATACAGTTGACCCTTGAATAGCACGGGTTTGAACTACACAGGTCCACTTAGAAGCGGGTTTTCCCCCCAATAAAAACTCTAAACGTATTCTTCTCTTCCTTATGTTTTCTTAATGTCATTTTCTTTTCTCTAGCTTACTTTAAGAATAGAGTCTATAAATACATAAAACATACAAAACATATGCTAATCCACTGTTTACATTGGTGAAGCTTCCAGTCAACAGGAGGCTATTAGTAGTTACATTTTTGGTCAGGCAAAAGTAATATGTAGATTTTTTTTTTTTTTTTTTTTTACTGTGATAGGGGTAGTACCCCTAACCCCTGCATTGTTCAAGAGTCAACTGTACTATTTTCTTTATGTTTGCAACGTTCCATAGTAAAAATAGTCTGTCTTCATTTTTCAGAGACCCAAATACTACACATTTTGAGACCTTCTAGTTTATATGCCTAGATCTGTGCCTAGCACTGTAGGGAGACAGAATAAAACAGTGAACAAGTAACTCCTAGGCACCAGCAGTCAATACTGATTTTACATTTTCATAACCATCTCCCCGGACCTGCCACACCCAGGAGTGTGGAATCCCTGGCTTGGCCCTGCTCACATGTCTGTCTGTGGCTCCGCCTTCCAGGCAGGTGCTTCTGCAGAGTCATACTGAGTGGCTCAGAGGAGCCAGCGTGTGAAGTAACATCCACAGCAGATGGGTAAATGTGTGTGTTCTCCCTGGGGCTGTTTCCTTAGCTCCCTGTCACCAAGGAGATGCTCAGGGTGATGTCTTTTCTTTACAGAATAAGAAGGCAGTGCTGTCCTTCACCACTGGGGGCAGCGACTCCATGTACTCTCTGCAGGGAGTCCACGGGGACATGAATATCATCCTCTGGCCAATTCAGGTACCTCATTTTCAGTGAACCTTCTGGGGGGATTACCTAACTGAGCTTTCTATGGGGTCCAGATCCTTAAGATAACTGAAAACAGACCTGAGATGAAAGCATAGTAATGACTCAGAACTACAGGGAGCTTCCTTTTAAGACGTTCCTGTCTTCCCAGGCCCCTGTGCTTACAGAATAACCCGTGTGCACGGGTCTACACACCTCTCCTAATCGAGCACTAGGGCAGCCATGTGGTCTGATTCTCTCCAGGGGACTGACATCTCTCCAATCTTCCTACCCTTCTCCAAGAATAGTCTCATAGACTATTAGAGTGCCCTCCACCCCAATTTAAGAAATGTTTTAGTTCATTGAGTAACACTGAAGTCTGAAGTATGATTTTTGGAGGTCACTGGGCTCTCAAGATAATCTCTTCTCAGGAAGAGGGGTGGAGAGAAGAGCAAATGAGGCAGCCACTTATAATCCTGGAGAATTAATATTCCTGCTGGAGAACGGATGATAAGCACCGTTTGTTAAGATTCATCTAGTTCTATGGAGAGGCAGGGAGCAGCAGGCAAGGGAGCGGCTGCCACGCAGCTGCAACTTCCCTCATGGAACAGAACTTCCGACACTTCTGGCAGAGGATCCTAGGCTGGCACAGGTTCAAGGTTTTATTCATATGAAGAAAAGCACAGCAGAATAGACTAAGCTAGGTAACGGGCAGCTAGGACTGGGAGCAGAAGGTGAGAGAATCCAGTTCTGAACTGCGTCTGTGGGGTGCCTCCGCCTCCACATCGGTGTCTGGCTGGAAAGCCCAGGGGCACCTTCGTGGTTTGTAGGTGGTACAGACTGTTGGGGGTTTGTAGTGACTCACCTCTGTGCTCTGTGTCTCCCCAGAGCGGCACTCTGCATTTCTGCGGCTTCCAGGTCTTAGAACCTCAACTGACATACAGCGTTGGGCACATTCCCGCGGACGCCCGACTTCAGGTCCTGGAGGGATGGAAGAAACGCCTGGAGAACATCTGGGATGAGACGCCACTCTATTTTGCTCCAAGTAGTTTCTTTGACCTAAACTTTCAGGCAGGATTCTTACTGAAAAAGGAGGTCCAGGAAGAGCAGAGAGATAAGAAGTGTGGCCTCTCTGTGGGCCATCACTTGGGCAAGTCCATCCCGAATGACAACCAGATCAAAGCCAGAAAGTAAGACTCACAAAGGCTTGGTTTCCTTCTAAAATGTAGCCAAGTCTAGGTTTCTTGTTCAGGCTTCCTTTAGTTTTTAAGATTTGTGTGTGCTTTTCTTTTTTCCACGAGGAATAAATTTGAGATTAGACTATTCATACATTTTTTGATAGTTTTTTTAAAAAAACATAACTGATTTTTACAATTGCTATCATGGCAAAATTTGATTAGGCTCATGAGGACATTTAAAATATAAAGCAGGGCAAAGGTATAGAAAGGTGTTAGAAAGTATTCTTTAAGGTCCTGTATACTATTTAATCCTTCTCTTAGGGACACATTTTTAGGGTTAAATCTGGCTATAAAACATCCAACTCTTCAATGATCTATTTTTCTTTTAATTATCTCTCTGTGGTTTGCAGCAAAAGGGAATTGCCCAGAGAAAGCAGTGACTGAATCTGTCAGACTTAAGGGACTTGTCTAGTTAATAATCTATATTTGTTTGTGATATACATTGGTTCTAATTACTACATAGTAACTGATATGCCTAATCTGAGTGTTTCTCTTCCTTAAATTTCTGTTGTTTGTATACAGTACACACAGGTGCCTTGAGATGAAAAGCTAATAAAAGTCTCCTTTGCCTCAATCTTCTAATTTAATGTCTGCAGGGATAAAACAATATATCTGTGTACTACAAATTGCCACAATGAATGAATTCAAAACAGGAAATAGTGCCCCAATTCTTAAAAATACCTTTCCACAAACAGTGCTGTATATGTGATCTATAAAACCACGTGAAAATTTTTTTTCTATATCATATATCATCTTTTCCATTTAAGGATGTATTTTGGTCACATGACTTTTGGGATAAAACTGTAAGCCTGTGCTTCATTTTACTTTGGTGAACAATTTTGGCACCATATTCTAGTTTCACATAGAAATTGCTAAGTACAGCGCTACACAGTTGGTATAATTCAAGTAGAGTATGATGAAAGCCTGCCCTCTTGTGGTGCATGGCAAGAAAACAACAAATGATGCAAAACAAGGTGGCCCGAAACTGGGACTAGTTGCATACCTGCAATAGAAAGGATGGGACCAGGCGCCAGAGAACTTCAGGTGCCAGATCACCGGGTATTTCTTCCTTTTAAAATATCCACAATGACAGATGGCTTGTGCTTCAGTTTGGTGAAAATATTTTCCATTGCCTTCTCCTCACTCTGTGTACGTGAAGCAGGATAGCCGAGTGTGGTGTCCCGAAAACCGAGTGAAGAGGGTGTTTCAAGGAGGGAGTGGTCAGTGTGCCAAATACTGCCGATAAGCCAAGTAACCGAGGCTGGAGAACTGACCTTTGGACAGGGCCACTTGGAGGCCATTGTGGGCTTTGACAAGAATCAGTTCAGTAGAGTGTTGTGATAAAAGCCTGATTAGAATGGGTTTAAGAATAGAAGGAGAGGAAGTGGAAACAGTGTGTGTTGTTGAAGGGAGTTATTTTTTGACATTCTAAGAGATAAGGGACATTTATGTGCCAGTGAGAAGGACTCAGAGAGAGAAGGTTTTGATGTTGGAAAAAAGGGGACAGTTAAAAGAACAAGTCTTTGAAAACACAAAAGGATAAGGGATCCAGTGCACAGGAGACAGAACAGTAATAACAGGCCTAATAATAATAACACAAGGCATTTGCAGGGACTGGTTTGGCTCAGTTTTATAGAGCATCAGCCTGCGGACTGAAAGGTCCCAGGTTCGATTCCAGCCAAGGGCATGTACCTTGCTTGTGGGCACATCCCCAGTGGGGGTGGTACAGGAGGCAGCTGATCGATGATTCTCTCTCATCGATGTTTCTAACTCTATTTCTCTCTCTTCCTCTCTGTAAAAAATCAATAAAATATATATTTTAAAAAATAACACAAAGCATTTATGTGTGCTAGGAACTAAGTAATTTTACATGGGTTAATTTACTTAATTCTTGAAAAAACTCTGAAGAGAGTCCAATTTTTGTTTCCATGCTATAGATAAGAAACTGAGGAATAGAGTGGTTAAATTGGTATAGGGGCCAAAATTCCACATAACGAAGGCCAACTCAAGAGCCTATGCTTTAAAATATCTGTAATAATAAAAGTGTAATATGCTAATTAGACTGGACACCCTTCCAGACTACCTTCCGGATGAAGCCGGGGCTTTAAGGGAAGCCTGGGTCCCGGGTTCCAGAGGGAAGCCTGTGCTGGCAGCTGGGGTAAGGGAGGCCCACTCTTTGCACAAACTTCTTGCATCAGGCCTCTAGTTACATTATACTGCCTCAGTAGAAGCAGAGACAATGGTACCATGAAAGAGAGAGCAAGAGTAGCAATCAATACCTCTTCCTCAGAACAAGACCATTCAGTGTCGCTGTTGAGACTGTAGCTGCTTTTGTACTGCTAGAGTTCCTGTTGTGTCACAAGCAGGGTAAATGGCATTTCAGTTCTTATAGGTCTGATGATATGGCCGAGGAGAATTTGTTCCTTACAAGATGGCAGAGCAGTATTTTTACCAGTCTGGAGTAAAGCGGGACAACTGCTTCCCTTGCTCTGGACACTGTGATTTGAATTACATGGACCAGGACTGCATCGGCTTTTCTGGTGACCTCTGCAGTCTCATCTTCAGATTAGTCTTTTGCCCACATATGTTGTTTTTCTGGATCAAAGTATTTTTTTTCTAATATTTTTTAAAAAATTGATTTCAGAGAGGAAGGGAGAGGGAGAGAGAAGTACAGACATCAATGATGAGAGGGAATCGTTGATTGGCTGCCTCCTGCATGTCAGACCAAGCCCACAACCCAGACATGTGCTCTTGACCGGAATTGAACCTGGGACCTTTCTGTCGGCGGGCCGATGCTCTATCCACTGAGCCAAACTGGCTAGGGCTGGACCAAAGTATTTTTTTGATATTTAAATTTCATTTGGTTATTCTCTTATAACTGTTAAAGTCAATAGCCATAAGAAGACAATTTTTAAACGTATTTTTAATGTTGGCAACATTGTTGAAATAAATTATTTTCTGATGTTTCTCTCTCTTAGATGTTTCTAACTCTCTATCCCTCTCTCTTCCTTTCTGTAAAAAAAAAATCAATAAAATATATTAAAATAAATAAATATATATATATATTGATTTGAAAGAGAAAGGGAAACATCGATTGGCTGCTTCCTTCCGAGGATCAAGTCTGCAACCTGGGCAAGTGTCATGACTGAGAATTGAACTGGCAACCTCTAGATACATGGGACTGTGCTCAACCAATTGAGCCACATAAGCCAAGTCTTAATATTTTTCTTTAATTTGATTCATAGTCTAGTAGGTATACACATTATATTTTTTTCTAATGTACATTAAAACATATATTATGTTTTTAAAAATGTTTCCCATGTATCACCTGAAATCATTTTGAGTGAAGTTATATGTTATAGTCTAATAAACACTAATTTAAGCATGAAACATTTAAACTCTGTAAAACAAACAAATTGATCACACTAAGAACTTTGTACACTAACAGTAGGCACAAATAATTACTTGAAAATATGTCTATATTTCATACCTTTTCCTAATGATTTTATAATGTCAGCAAAATGGCTTTCTGCTGCTCAAAAATGACATTTATGGATACGAGTTCGTCCACAAAGTTTGAGAAAAAAGACAGTTACCCACTGCAAAATGAAAACTTTCAATTTTTTTATTTTTGACTGCAGCTGTTTACAGAAATATAGTTGCGAGTATACAAATGTTCAATAGAAGCAAAATATCTTTTTAATATTTAACAAGTTATCACAGATAGCTAAAAACATAGATGCAAAAAAAATTCCCCCAGAGAACAAACTGAAAATATCTGTCAGTGCTCTGCAACCCCAACTATGAAAGCCACATACACAAAAATAGTCATTGTAGGACAATGGAAGAAGGCAGTTCAGTGGTTGATCAGTGTGCTCAAGCAAATAAAATTTAAATGGCAGAATGGTAGTTAAACCACTTGAGAATCGGTTAATGAAATACTTTGTAATATATTTATTAAGAAGACAAAGTAAAAGGTGTCAAAAAATTAGCAACTACTTGGAGCTTATCAATTAGAAGTTAAGGAACAAGATGAGAAGATACATTCATTAGATGAAAAGAAATTACCTGAATGTCATTGGAATCAGTTTGTAGTCCCTAAAGTCATAATCACTTCAGTGCAGGACAGCCTTTATTGGACACGTTAGTCTGATTCCAATTCCATTCTCAAACATCTGAGATGGGGTGTATGTGTACATGTGTGTGTGTGCTGTCCTGAGGTTCATTAGCTAAAATAACAAGTGATCCCCATGAGCTATTCAAATCAGGCAAATTACTTTTGGGAGAAAAAAGAGCAGGGGTGATATGAGGCTTAAATATAGGCTTTTAAAAGAGATATTACAAGTTAAAGTCAAAGAGAATTATGGTAGAGTGTTTTGGGCACAGGAATACTATTAAGCAATCAAGTGGGGAGAGAGAGGAAAGGGAACAAGAAAGGAGAAATGTACTAGAGCATCTCCCAACAGTTTGCCTATGTATCTGCCAGCACCATAGTTTGTAGAGTAAGCCACTTACATTTCCACCGCTAGCATTAAGCAGTGTGATTTTTATAGAGTATAAAATTAGTTTTAGTTTGAAATGTGCATTTTTCTTTCATGAGTTAATTAATTGACTTGTAAACAGCGGGAGGAAGATTAGAACAATTACAGAGGTATTAAATTACTCAGGAAGATGAAAATAAATGAATAAATCACTTGACTTGTGGTGGTTAGTTTATATTTACCATGGTGCATACATTGACAAAGGAGAAATGCCCAAATTATATAATGCATTACTGTCTTGTTTAAGATTTATTTTAGTAAATAATTATTGTCTGAAGCATAAATTCCAAGGATAGTTATAACTCTACTGCAGCAGTTCTCATCCTAAGCAAGCTACTTTAAAAAAATTTTCATGTATTAAAAGAAAAAAATTAAATAAGGTGCCTTGTTGATCTGGCCAACTATCTTGTTTAATAGCTCAGATACAAATATAAATATAGGAATGATAAATTTGTTAAAAGAGTTGGCCTAGCCACACCAAAATTGTTGTCTGCTGGTAAAATAAGAGGCAATGAAAAAAAAAAAAAAAGCAGCTTGTATTATTACTGCCCACAATGTACCCATTTTATGCATAAACAGAACAATTTAGCACCTGTCAATTATATTAGCTACTTAAATGTCATAACAACTAAAAGAAATACAAAACATTGCACCTATATCTTTAAATCAGTCACTTAATGTAAACTTTTTAGTAAGTGGTAGAAATATGACCAACTAGGTTAACTGAAATATCAATAACTAGACTTACTGCATATATACATAAAATATAAGCAGTATGGAGAATAAGTTATCATTGCCAATAAAGGATTATGAATAACCAGGTCAAGCTGAATTTACATAGAGAACAAAGTATAACTATATGAGTAGGGAAAAACCAGCTTTCTAGATCTTATTGTAAATAGTTTATACCAATAGTTCTCAAACTTCACCCATGCACCAGAACCACCTGGAGGGTGTTAAAACAGACTGCTGAGCCCCACTCCAGAGTTTTTGATTCAGAGTGTCTGGGAGAAGCCCAAAGAATTTGCATTTCTGACTAGTTCCCACATGATACTGATGTTAGCTGGTAGGCTAAGGACATATTTTGAGAACCACTGGATTATACATATTATATATGTAGAAAACTATATACTGTAATGTTCTTATGTACATGACATAAAATATATAGGAAGAGGGCTGGGTTTAATTAACTCTCAAACATATTTTCTAAAATGATTTTCTGAAGTGTAATTATTTCCCCTTATAGTCAATTACATTTCAAAGTCTAAGTCCTACTATAATCATTTTAGAAAATATTCACATAACACTTATACTTAGTTACTGTCCAAAATAAAAAGGGACATAAATATTCTAAATAGATAAGATTTATTCATTAAGAAGGAATCATCACTATACAGCATTCTTAACTTCTTTGGAATGATTAAAGTGCATAATATCAATAGGGTATTAGGAATATTGCATAAATGTTTGCAGTCTTCAGTGTCACTACCAACCATGGAATACTCACATGAGGAAAGCAGCTCATCCCAAAGCTAATTCTATCCTGACCTGTCACTGATGGTCCTTTCTTCAGGCACCACAACCGTGATAAGGAGCTGGATGGAACATAGGCAAAATTAACAAAAACCAGAGGGTCATTCAATTCAGATCTTAGATCTGGAGAGACTCCAATATAACTTGTTCATTTCTTTCATAGGTAACACTGTCTTTCATAGGTAGATTACTGAGGCTCTGATGAGCAAGAAGTGCACTATAATTAATTAGTTGGCCCTGTCTAGTTAGAAAATCTGACATTACCAGATTTTATTTAAACTATGTGTTTGTGACTTGTTTTCACTCATCTAATTAAGGTCACAGAAGATGCTTTGAACACCTCCTGAAATTTAACTACACACATTTGTGTGCATGGAGTCTCACAGGTAATAAAATTTTCATTAGCATTCAAGTAAGACCTATCATTAGTTGGCTGAGATGAAGACAAATTTAGTTAATTTATATAAAACCTAAATAGTATAATTCTGTAATCTTTTACTTACCCTCCCTCACAGGAATGATTCTGGTTATGTATCTTTTCTGTTACTCTAATGCAAAAATAAGTTAGAAACTTATGAAGTTGTTTCCTGTGTTAAGAAAAAGAGCTATAAAACCCTTCCATTTGGCACAACCCCTTATCGTGCCTTTCTATGGTTGCTGGATAGGATGCTGCCCAATTCATGAACTGCTTAATAAAACCAATTAGATCTTCAAAAAGAAAAGAAAGAAATGAAGAAAAGAGAATGACTACGTGGAAAAGTTCAAACTAGGACCTAATGTATTTTTGGCTATAGTGAAAAAGTACACTATCATCGTAAAAGACACTCTCATTTGATTTAGATACTTATATTAATTTAAAAATGTCCAAAAGAGAAAGTAGAATAAAAATATCATTTCATTAATAAGTGAGGCTAAAATGGCATGAAAATCAATGGGGACTAAAGTAATTACAGCTTTGGGACAATTCACAAATTACATTGTAGGTATTATTTTGACATTTACTACGTAAAGAACATTATCTCCACAATTTAGCTCTACTGATACAAATAAGCAGAGGAGAAAACCTTTTTATATATGTTATTAGATTTTACTAAACCACTTAGTAGGGTATATTCTCTGAGTTATTATTCTAATAAAGCTGCTAAACTATTCAGTCTCTCTCTTTCATTAAGTCCTTCCCTGCATATAACCAAAGGCTTACAGCTATAACATGGTTGTCTTGGCTAGGGATTCAGCCTGTGGTCATGAAGCTAAGTAAAGCTCACAGGTCTTCATATAATTTTCAATTGATTAAAAAAATCAAGTAGGAAACAGATATTGGAACAGAAAATTTCACCAGAAAGATGAAAAATTCTCAAGTTACTTCTGGTGAATATTTTTAAGTCATATTGAATTTGAGACTTTGACTTATTAATTAAAGCATTTAATTCTGTTCTTTAATTAGTGCTGAGTCTAAACAGATCTTACTTTTCCAAAACAAGCATCCAGAATGGCTTAGTCAAAAGGAATTATCTTAATTCTAGAGGGACTCAGCTGTAACTACTTTCTCATTTCCTTGGACACAACTTCCCCTTAGCAGATTAAATGAAGTTCTGATGAGCCAGAAATGCACATATAATAAAATTCCCAACTATAGTATATACAGTATTACAAAAAGGAAGAGAAAAAGGAGGAAGAGGAGGAGGAGAAGGAAGAGAAGAAGGAAGAGGAGGAGGAAGAGGAAGAGGAGGAGGAGAAGGGGGAGGGAGAGGAGGAGGAGGGGGAGGGAGAGGAGGAGAAAAGGAGGACAAGAAAGGAAAAAAGAAAGGAAGGAGGGGAAAAAGGAAGGAAGGAGGGAAGAAAAGAATGAAAGTCCCTCAATAATACTGCTTCTATAACAAAGCCCTCTACAAAGCCTATTCTAGGGAGACTGGTGAAAACAGATTTGCATTGGCTAAATAACAACATGACTCTAACTACAAAGGTAACATGATAAAGCTCAGAAGCAAAATATGACTTCTAATTATCTTCTCCCATGTTGGTGTGGATATATAATGAAATGACAGTAAGAAATAAAACACTCACAAATACTAACACAGACAGAGATAAGCTCCAAGCATTAATGTGAGTTGCTAAAAGCAAGAACAATTGAGTGGAATAATACAAAGGAATAAAATGTGGTTCATAACTTACCTAGGACTTTCTGCCATAAATAACTTGTAACAGTAATCTGGAAACTGTATTATTAGCACAAGTATCAACCACTGACCACTAAGCTAACTCTTCAATAAGAAGATAAATACTTTTGTAACCAAATTGTATATTCAGAATGCTGTACCTAACATTGACCTTTAGGGGTAAAGAACATTTAACAATGTTAAAAAAAAATAATAATAACAATATCATTATTGAATAAGAATATGGTAGCATAGCACAGCCCTTGTATAAATAACCACAAATTTTATGAAAATAAAAACTGGGTTTTCTGCTTCTGTTCAATCAAACCATTCAGGTGTATGTTCTGTTCTAAACTTAGATATTATAAAACAGAAAATTGGTCCCTGGTGACTTGGCATTGGCAATCAGCATTTTATAATGATAAACCTCTTGCTAAACAATAGAAATCAGCACACAGCCAGTCTTCTTGCCACCACTTCATCCATAGAGCAATGTTAACATTCTAATTAGAATTTGGTGAACAAATAGACTTCCCGAGTCTCCTGTATATCTCTTAGAAAAGAGTTCAGAAAACTCAAAAATAAACTTAGAGTATTTTATTTCTACTTATTTTTATACTTGCTGAATAAGCTTTCTGGCATTTGTTAACCCTCTGTAGTTGGAGTTTTACATTTTAAAACTGAAGCGCTGGATTGTGTGGCTGGCCTTTCTCCTAACCTGCACTATGTTGAGTAATTTTTCTCGGTAGGGGTGGGGGGAGAAGAGATATATTGAGGAAAATGCTTTCAGTTCAGAGAATTTATAAAGTAGCTCTGGATATTACAAGATGGGGAAAATGTTATTAAAATTACAAACATTTTTAGTGTCTTTATAAATAAAAAAGCATAGAACAGAGAAAGCCAATTAATAATAATAACAACAATAAAATATTAAATATATAGTGAGCAAAGACTGAATGGCTCATTCTTGTGAAACACCATTTGACACAACTGCCTAGATGGGTTTCCTTACTCTAACATTTTGCTGAGTATCCAGCAAACACACAGTAAGCTGCCTTTAGCCCACTAGGAACATCAAAGAACTGCCTGATGGAATGGCCACAGATAAACAGGTCATTTGTTTCAAAAGATACTTAAATACTCAATAAAGACATAACAAACCCCCCCCACCCCCCTCACTGTTATCAGACGCCACGTTGTGGTAGAACATCAGACAAACTCACAAATTTACCACAAAAATGTGTGGCAAAAAAGAATAGTTTATATATATGTATATATATAAATTTCTATATTTATGCCAATGTACTCACTCAGTACAAATAGCAAAATAGTATACCATTTCCTAAATACAAAATATAGCTTTCCAAAAAAATGAAACACACATTAGATATAAACCATCCAAAACTTGAACGATTGAAAACTGTATTCAAAATTAAATGACCCAGAGTAGGTCTCTTTCTGAAAAGTTCCCTTCATATCGGCAAGAAGCCTGTACTACTGAAAACGTAATTCAATGCCTCTCAATCAGAGAGAAAAGGAAAGTTGGGAGTAATGGGAAGAATATATGAGTACAAAGAGAAAAAAAAAAAATTAGAAGAGCACATTCAAAGAACCAAGGAAGATCACACAAAAAAGGAGGGAAATCTGGCTGTATAAACAAAATCAAGACCACAATTCCACTAAGTTTAACTAAATGTATAGGATAGAAAACAACAACAACAAAAACAAATAAAAAAATAGCCTTCAGCAAGCAATCAGCAGGCTATTTTTTGTACACTTAAAAAATAAATGAAACTGATAAGATACCAAAACATCTTATCTACATATAGAAGCCACACACAATTTGGCCTTAAACTGTATTAACAGCTTTCTACATGCCAAAAGAAAAATAAAACATAAGCATGTGTCTAGACAACAGGTTGTAATGAGAAGCAAGCATCCCACGGGTGGTAAGAACACCCAAAACTGTATAACTGCTACAAATACAAGTTCTGGAGTGTGTTATTTTGCTGTCTATAGATGTAACACAAGTTAATTCTTCATTTTAAGTCATGATATGACCCTGTAAAGCCTAAGGCTTGTGGGAACCATCAGATAGTGACCACTTCAAACTGTAAAGCACTGAGGTGACAAGTGAAATTACACTCACTGCAGCTCACGGAGAAGTTATGCTTCAAGAAATTTTACTTTGCCTTTTAAAAATTAAAATTTATACTGTTTCCCATTAGAGGGGAAAATTTGAAGACTTCAGAACAGCACCGTTCATGGAGAAAAATGCATTGTTTTTTGTTTCTCAGGAATCAGCTCTTCTCATTCCTGAAAAGCAGCTCTCTTTATACCCCCTACCTGTGCTGCAGGATTAGCTAGGCTACCCCAGGTCTAAGTGGCCTTTCCTTTAAGATGCTACAGGGTCACAAAGCTAGGAATATTTTACCAATTGTCTAAAATAAAGTGAAAAGAAGTGGAATAATATAGATGAATATAAAAAGAGAACAACCAGCCCAAGACTAGGTTAAAAAGAAAAGATTTAAATTGGTGTCAATTTAAACTACTGCAGGAGGATATCGGAACATAATTTACCATAATATTATCCCCTTCACTGTTTAAAGAGCAAGATAATTATTCTCCTATGTACTTATGGCTGAACTCCTTATCAGAAATACAGAGAATTTAACAATCTGAAAAATAAAATCAATAGCACTCCAGCTGTTCCCAGTTGTGTGTTGTCTGCCTTTGTGATAAAGAAGCCTCTTATCTGTGTACAGCTTACTTGTCAGAATGCTACCTCTCCAGTTTTCTACAAAAACTGAAAAAGGATTCCTTCACTTTGGCCAATAGCTGTGCTTTTTATAATAAAAAAATCACAGCCTTAGTTATTATCTGAATTTTCCTTTTTCAAAAGCTGTTATTTGACTAAAACAATGCAGGAAAGAAAATGACAAAGAACAAAAGTAAACATGACAATATGGATTATTTTCTAATAGCATTAATAACTGAGCAGTCCAGCTTTTAATTTTAAACTGTACTTTTAAATAGCCCCTAGGAAAATAGCAACAATTAATTCTGTCAGCTGGAAACTCAAGCAGATTCTCAGTCATCAGTGCTATTAGGAACAGAAAATATGAACATGTTAACGATGGTGGCTAATCACTGCAACAGGCAGCATAGGTGTGCTCTTTTGCAGCAAGAGTAAAATCTATCCATTTACTCAATCACAGTTTTTCATATCTCATTTTGTTTTTAAAGTAACAGTTCAATAATCCTCATGGAATCACAAGATCTCAGGACATCTTGGAATCAGGATTTTCTTCATGGAATTTCTAAAAAAAGAAAACATTTAATGTAACTCACTAGTGAGGGAAAGCATTTATAAAGTTTCTGTTACCCTGAATGATCCCAAAGTATATTACAATATTATAGATGACACTTCATAATATTTATACTTCCACAGTTTTCTGACTCAATATTTATTCCTTGAGGAAAGGAGAAATGAGTCATTATCATATCTAATATATAATTCATACATCATATTTTCTGTCATTCCAAGGCAAAGAAGTTTAAAGCCAGAAGATATGGCCAGTATTTTTTTTTTTAATAGATTTTTATTGCTTCCAGAGAGGAAGGGAAAGTGAAAGAGAGATATAAACATCAACGATGAGAGAGAATCACCGACCGGCTGCCTCTTGCAGGCTGACACTCTATCCATTGAGCCAAACTGGCTAGGGCAGAATGCCCAGTATCAATATGACCATAAGCTATCACATATCGAGTAACTTATTCAAAGTAGAAAAAGTATCACCTGGTGAGTACACCATATTTACTTAGCCAAATCTGCTGGGAATAATAAATTCATTGATGCTTTTCAATTAAAAAAAGAAAAAAGAAAAAAAAAGGAAAAATGCAATACTTACATATCCAGTTAAAAGGAGCCAGTCATGTTGTTCCCTTGGTTTTGCAATGAAACAAGCAAATCAATCTTTTCCATGTTCTGGTTGGTGTTCATAGAGGATGACAGTGGAGAATTCTCTGGCATTTGCTGAGAAAGAAGTGTTGTCACAGGTGGCTGGCCCTCATTTTGTGGTTGGCCTGGCTGACTTATGGCCATCAACTGATCTGGCAATGCAGCTGGTCCAGAAGTTAAAAGCTGATTACAGTCTGAAAAAACATTTTAAATAGAGAAGCTGATTAGTTACTTGCTCTTAAGATTCATAGAAGATATGAATTAGTTGCTGGGGGTAAGTCATTATGGTGTTCACTCAGCATAGAACTAAAAGTGAGGCACCTAACCCCCCACCACCCCCCCGCCAAAAAAAAAGTACTGATATTCATCTTTGGTTTCCTCTTAGCAGTATACAAACACAACTTTGTCTAGTTATCATCTCAAGTCCTATATAATTTCCTTGGTACATAAACATTAAAGATGGGTTTCTACCTCCTTGGAAACTACTTAAATTGGCTGAGATTTTCTGTCATTCTTTATTTTCCTTTCAAGTTCATAGGTTAAAGTGGCAAACACATACACTACCACATTTAATCCTCCCAATATCCTTGTCAAGTATGTAATATTACCACCATTTTAGATGTGCAAACTGAAGTTCATGCCAGTCAAATAACTTGTCTAAGATCTCACAGTCTATTCCTGGTATAACTGGGACTTGAACTCAGTTCTGACAAACTATAATCCATGTTGTTAAAACCACTGTGCTTTGCTTCCTTCTAATAATAATAATAATACTTTGACCATTTAAACCAATAAATTTAAGAAATGAGAAATTAGAATTTCTTACTATTTTGAATGCCAAATAAGAACATTCCTGAAGTCTGCTGAGATGAGCCAGGAGAATTTTGTAGTTGGTTCATTGTGCCTCCTGTAGTGTTGTGAAATAAAGTAGCCTGTGGTTGAGGTGAAGATGTGGCTCCTTGGATTCCAGGCATGTTGTTCTGAGGGGAATAAAGAGGAGACTGTTGCATCTCTTGTTGGTTTATACTGGTCTGCAATGCAGACATGGATGCTGGAGAGAGGAAAAGAGTTACTTGCTGCTCTTGAGAACTGGGTGACCCCTGGACCAGTTGCATCTGAGAAGAGCTATGGAACAAGGATGTCTGTGACGATTCAGACTGAGTAGGACCTGGGTTTTGAAGTGAGGAAACTGTGGGCTGGTTCTGAAATTGCATGGGCTGTTGTTGCTCTTGATTCATTGTGGCCATATTATTTTGTTGGTGAAATATTGACTGGTTCTGTTGCTCCTGATTAGCCATTGGATTTTGACTTGGGTTGAATATCATGTTTGGTGGTGGTGGTTTTTGAGATGCCATTGTAGCCATGGTATTCTGATTACTGAATAAAATGTTCTGTTGTTGTTGCTGCTGTTGCTGTTGCTGCTGTTGCTGTTGCTGCTGCTGCTGTTGCTGTTCCTGGGATGGGGAGTTACTCTGGATGGCAACTATTGAGTGCTGTGCCTGGAAGATTGTCCCTTGTTGGTTTTGAGGCATTGGATTAGGAGGAAGGGAGCCCAGGGATACCTGAGGCTGAAATAGACCTTGCTGGGAGGATTGTGCCTGTTCTTGGGCAAGCATAGGGGTCTGAATGTGTGATATTGGAGGCTGCTGTTGGAAAGCAGTTTGCTGCTCAGTGTTTGACGTTGACTGAAGTGGAGAAATTGAGTTCTGAGCTGCAAAAAATGAAATCTGTTCTTCCTGGGCTACTGCGTTAGCTTGAAGATTATTCATTGGACTTTGGGAAAGAAATATGTTGGCTGACTGCTGATCTTGAGGTACGTTAGAGCCTTGTAGCACAGCCATGGTACTTTGAGAGTGAAACATTGGAGGCTGCATCTGTTCAGTGGAGGTTGTAGAAGTCTGACTGTGAACAATAGGACTTGGGCTGTGGAAAATAGAACCTTGAGTTTCCTGTGAAAGGTTCTGAGCATCAGCAATAGGATTTTGAGGATGAAAAAGCTGAGCCTGTGAATGAGAAGGCTGCTGCAAAAAATTCCCAGATTGGAGTGACATCATCTCATTACCTTGCTGGAATAAACTATTACCTTGTTGCTGGGCACCACTATTTTGAACACTCATCATACTTTTCGTAGATGAAAAAAGGTTAACTTGAGGTTGATTGTCCCCACTATGTTGCATTTGGACAATGGTCTGAAAGACACTGTTCTGCATCTGTTTTGCTTGTGTGCCCGTTTCCTCTGCATCTCCTGAACTTGACGTTTGAAACATGGTAGTGCCAGGGGTTGCAACCTGCTGTGTGGTGGTTGTATTAGTTTCATTTCCAGAAACTGTAGGAGAAGAAAACAATTCACATTGCATTTGCATGTCCTCACTGGTAGGTAATGTACTCATCATATGAGGAGTCTGCTGGTAAACTGGAGACTGCTGAAGATTTCCATTTGCTGAAGCAGTTGAAGGAAATAATTCTGACTGAATCTGGGCCTGGCAGATACTCTGCTGCATCTCCATCACCATTGCAGCTGATGATTCCATCACCTGCTGTTGCTGTTGCTGTTGCTGTTGATTAGATAACGTGTTTTCAGTCTGTGAGTGAACACTTTCAGCTCTTCCAGCTATTAAATTATCTGGTCTGGTATGGACTGCTGGTTCTGTCTGGGAAAACATTCCAGGGCTTACACTATTTTGAATTTGACTGACTTGTTGAAAAATATCTGCACTAAGCTGTTCTGGAACATTCTCATTACCATCTGGAGTAGAAAACAAAACTGAAGATAACTGTTGTTGTGCCTCTAAAACTTGTTGTGCCTCTAAAACCAAGTCAACATTTCCACTGCTGCCACTAGCAGTACTGCCGCTAAAATTTCCTGCTTGCAACTGCTGAATCGTGTTCTGTATCTGACTCACACTACTTGGTGATGGGAACATACTTGATGAAATCTGCTGCTGTAAAGTCTGTGCTTGTTCTTGTAGTGGTGACTGCTGCTGTTGCTGTGATGCCTCAGTCAGGTGTGACAAATTAATCACAGTTCCATCTGACTGCAATACCTCTCTAGATTGAGCTTCTCTTGTCTGAAACTGTGTGGCCTGCTGCAGTAGTGCATCACTGTTAGGCAGCTGACTAGAAGCAGAAACTGTTGGAAAGGTACCAGTCTGTGAAATGTCCTGTGTTTGGATAGTTGTCAGGGTTTCTGGATTGTATGCCTTGGGCTGAATCTGCTGCTGCTTTTCATTTTCAGAGGGTAAATGAGAAGATGATGATGATGATGAAAAAGAGCCATTTCCTGTTATGTTAGAGATATTTTCCAATGTTTGTTGAGTTGGTCCAACTGTCTTCGTAGTCTGAAAATAAAAATCCCCAGATATTAATTAATAACCATTAAATGAGCTCATATAATATTCAAAAATTAATATTAGTCTAAAAACATATGCATATTCAGGACCAATTTTCCACTCTATATTACTTGGAAAATAGGTATAAGACTATGATTTTTGGTGATACATGTCTGATTGTCTAAAGAGTATTTTTAAAATCCCAATATGCTATCTGATTGTCCATTCAATCAAAGTGTAATATGCTAATGATATGTAAAGCCTCTCAACTGCTCGCTATGACATGCACTGACCACCAGGGGGCAGAGAGTCAACCGGTTGACCAGTCGCTATAATGTGCACTGACTACCAGGGGGCAGACGCACCTACCAGTATGTTGGCTTGCTGCTGGGGTCCAGCTGATCAGAACTGAGTGAGATGGGCCAGACACACTCTGGAGCCCTCGCATAGTCCCTTCCTGCCTGGCCAACCTCCCTTGTTCCTCCCCAGCCCCGATTGTGCACCAGTGGGGTCCCTGCACCCTCTTGCATTCCGGGACCCCTCAGGGGATGTTGGAGATCCAGTTTCAGCCTGATCCTGCAGGCCAAGATGAGGGACCCCATTGGTGCAGGAATTCATACACCAGGTCTCTAGTATGTATTATAAACAAAGATAGTCAAACAAGGAAGTAAAAGAATCAACTGCCCAGGCAGCATGGCTCAGTGGCTGAGCATTGACTTATGAATCAGGAGGTCATGGTTTGATTCCCAGTCAGGGCATATGCTTGGGTTACAGGCTTGATCCTCAGTGTGCGGTGTGCAGGAGGCAGCCAATCAATGATTCTCTCTTATCACAGATGTTTTTCTCTCTTCCTCTCTGAAATCAATTAAAAAAAAATATATATATATATATATACGCACACACACACACACACACACACATATATATATATATATATATATATATATATATATATATATAGTAATCAGCTGTTGATATGCTCAGGACAGTTAAAAACATTAATTCTATGGTTCATAAATTAATAGCATGCAAAAAAATATTCCCATTTTGTGCTTTACTGGTAACATTATAAGAGGAAAACAAGGGAAAAAAGAAAAGGAGTTACAGGAAGAGTGGGAAAGAAAAGGAAATAAAAATGTCTCTAATTTAAAAAATGCTAACCAGTACCTTCATTAACACCCTTCATCCCATAGGTCTAGCTAACACAGTAATTCTTCTTCCTTGTGAAAAATACTGGAAGTCACTTTAAAGCAGGCTATTTTATTGGAGTATAAAGGCACTTACTCTGAAAAGCAAAATTAATTAAGTGCAAAGAAAAACAAATGTGAAAGAAACAGAAAAGTAAAAAGCATAAACATGAGAAAAAGAAATCAAACCACTTAAAATATAAAAAGTAATTTTTATATTTAAGGTTAAGATGGAGGACACTTGTCAATGTGGCTGGCTTACCTTAAAAATCGGTCTTTTTTCTGCTGTCACTTCCATTGGAGTAACATCTTCACTCTTAATCATATTGCTTGATATGAGTGGAGTGATCAGAGCATTAGGAAGAATATTTACCTTTTCTAAGTTACATCCAGTAGTTTTTATAGCTGCACACATAGACACACACACAAAAACAAGAAAAAAAAAAGCTTAAAACCATTATAGTCACCAACTATTTCATTTTATACTGTGATGACTATTAGCCATGATTTAAAAGTCCATTTTTTAAAATATTATATAGCATGAGATACAAAACTGGCATGCTATATATATGAAAGCTAAATTTTACTACTGACAATAGAAAAAAAAGCTACCATATTGGATAAAATTAAGCATATTATTCCCTTTTAAATGTAAATATTTTTAATTTTATAATTTAATTTTATGTAACTCATGAATTTCATGGCAGAAAAATGTAAGTAAAAGCTAGGATTATAAGAATAAACCAATGGCCATTATATAATTGACATGTTCATTTATAATGGCACAAAAGTATCACTGAGTATCATAGTTATATTAGAAACCTGAGAAAAGAATCTATCACATAACATCCTGAAGATATAACTTTGTTATCCCTTGGGATTGGCAGAGAAGTAAATAAAAACGTCAGAAGAAAGATCCTAAAGCAACTTTTTCAAATGTTGATAGTTCATATTTTGGTCTCTTTAGTTTCAATGTCAAGTACTAATCTTATTAGTAGAAAATTTTGTACATACATATTGTACTTTGCATATATTTTTAAGATTTTTAATATTGAGGAATGGAAAACAAAACAAAAAACCTCCACTCCAATATGTAAAAAAAATTGTTTACATGCTGAAACCGGTTTGGCTCAGCGGTAGAGCGTCGGTCTGCGGATTGAAAGGTCCTAGGTTCGATTCCGGTCAAGGGCATGTACGTAGGTTGCAGGCACATCCCCAGAAGGGGGTGTGCAAGAGGCAGCTGGTCGATGTTCTCTCATCAACGTTTCTAGCTCTCTATCTCTCTCTCTTCCTCTCTGTAAAAAATCAATAAAATATATATTTTTTAAAATTGTTTACATGATGAATGAAGGGAAATATCAAGTTGGGAAACAAATCTCTGCATTCAGTAAAAAACAAATATTTATTTTACAGTATAGAAGAGACCATGCTAAGTGTTCCAAGTACATAAGAGAAAACAAAATCTTAGTTTGCTAGGGAAATATATAAGAATCAACTTAGTACCTTTCATGGCCTCTTCAAAAGAGCAAGGTCGTGCTGGACTAGATATTTCCTTCTTCACATTTACATTCAAAGCACCAGCTGCTGCTATTAAAAAAAGAAGAAAGGATTAATGCTCTAACCCTAACTGAGTTACCCAGCCAGGGTAGATCTTGTAAATTTTTAACATTTCAATTGTTCTTATTGCTCTGGTTTCTAAAGCATCTATTTTGCATAAATGCTTAAAATTATACTTAAAATATTTATTCACCAGCAGTCTTTGGTATTTTTGATTACACAGATTAGAAAATGTTACAGGCACATAACTCCACTTGTGATTCTTATCACTTATGGTTCTAAGCAAGCTCTTATCTCTCCCAAAAGGCAATCCTGTAAGTTAGCTAAACTATTAGCAGTTTCCCAAAAGTTGTCACTTTTCATTTTTCTGCAGACTAGAGAAACTCAATGAATGTTAATTCTTATTAAAGAGTAAGTTGTATGATAATTCTGGAGAGTCTGACTTCAGAGCATTCCTAGCTTTTTTTTTCTTTTTCAAAAGCCAGGCTCTTTTTTTTTTTTTTTTTTAATGTTTTATTGATTTTTTTACAGAGAGGAAAAGGGATAGAGAGCTAGAAACATTGATGAGAGAGAACTATCGATCAGCTGCCTCCTTCACACCCCCCACAGGGGATATGCCCGCAACCAAGGTACATGACCTTGACTGGAATCGAACCTGGGACCTTTCAGTCCGCAGATCGATGCTCTATCCACTGAGCCAAACCAGTTTGTTTTTTTTTTAATTCTCTCTCTTTTTTTAAATTGATTTCAGAGGGAGGGAGGGAGGGAGGGAGGAAGGGAGGGAGGGAGGGAGGGAGGGAGGGAGGGAGGGAGGGAGGGAGGGAGGGAGGGAGGGAGAGAGACAGAAACATCAATAATGAAAGAGAATCATTGATTGGTTGTCTCCTAGACACTTCCTACTGTGGATCCAATCCCACAACTTGAGTATGTGCTCTAACCGGGAATCGAACAGTGACCTCCTGGTTCATAGGTGGACACTCAACCACTGAGCCACACAAGCCAGGCTACCACTTTTCCTTTTGGTTGGCTGATCTTCATATCTTTCCAAAGTACCAGAAATTAAACATTCATTTTAGTTCAGACTCTTTTTTTTTTTTTTTTACATACCTGGGTCTGGAGTGTAAGTGAATGGTTGAACATCATGAGATCTTCCAGCATTGGTCACTACATATATTCCCACTGATACTGGCAAAGTTATATGTTGGTCATGATATGGGGGAACCTTCACAATAAGATGATTCTAATTGAAAGAAAATTACAAGAGTCAGAAAAGAAGCAATATTTAAATAACAATTTTGAAATAAAAATTATAATTAAGTACATTTCCTTTTAGCTATAAAGGTCAAAAGTCTGACTAGAAAAATTATTTTAAAACTTAGGTTCATAGACATCAGGATATTAATCTTTAAAAAAACACATTTTATTGTGTGTTTTTTTGTTTTTGTTTTTTTAACAGAGTGGAAGGTAAGAGGGATAGACAGAAACATCGATCAGCTGCCTCCTACAAACTCTCTAGTGGGTATGTGCCTGCAACCAAGGTACATGCCCTTGACCGGAATCAAACCTGGGACCCTTCAGTCCGCAGGCCGAAGCTCTATCCACTAGCCAAACTGGTTAGGGCCAGGATATTAATCTTAAAACTATTTTTAAGATAAAATCCAAATGTTTTATAATGACTAACAAGGTTCCTGCCCTGACAACTTTCTTTTATCCTCATCCTCCCCAGATTGTTTATATCCTAGGCATACTGACCTCAGTCCATTCTTTTAACATACAAAATTCACTTTTACCTCAGAGCCTTTACAACTTGCTGTTCTCTCTCTCTAGAATATTCTTCCTTCACCTCTTAAAATGGCTAGTTCCTTACCCATTTTTAGGAATTATTCAAATGTTACCTCCTTGGAGAAGCGATCTCTGACCATCCTTTTAAAAGTGACACCTTTCTCAGTCCTAATCACATACTCTTGTTTCTTTCTAAATTAGCACTTATCACTACCTGAAATTACTATGATGTGTGTTTTTTTCCCCTCTCTCCAACCTCAAGAATGTAAGGTTCATGAGAACATAGGATGTTCTGTCTTCATTCTATTTATCCTGTTAAGCACTTTGCACAAGAAATATACAAATATATTTGCTGAATAAAAGAACGAGTACATTTTGAGAAAAAAAAAACTATGCCCAGTATCCAAGCTCAGTATCAGTTACCATGTTCTGTACAACCTTAGTTGAGGTGTACTTTACAAGGCAATTCACTGCTTCCTAATCACTTAGCCAAATAGATCTAGTTTACCCAAATTAAGTCAAATTTACCCTCATTTAACCAAATAAAATTCAGTCTACCATGATCCTGGAAATCAAAGTTATTTTTTTTTTTTGTCAGAATAGTGGCAGAAACATCCTTATAAGAAAAGGAGAGTTCACAAATGCTTCGCCAACTGTTACTCAAGGTTGCCACATCTTGGAAGATATTGTGAACCATTTGGACGTATTTTCTTCTTCCCCGGTACAATATAGTAATGGGAAGGAGCATCAAGGGATGGTGATTATACTTTTGTGCAGAAGTTGAGATATGCAGGAAACAAATGATGACAGCTCAGGGCGAAGTGAATTTGATGACTTTTTTTACTTTCTAAGATTTTTTTTAAATCACAGAAGAATAAAAACAAATAAGATACTCCCAGGTGGGGGTCGGTGGGAGTAAGGGGGAGAGTTCAATCAAGGGATTTGTGTGCATGCATATGAGCCTAATCAATGAACACAGCCAACAGGGGGGTGGGGTATTAGTGGAGAGTGGGGGGTAAAGGGGGAATAAAGACACATATGGAAAAAAAATATATATATATGACACAAAAGAATTAGAAACTTTTGTTTTAATATTTTTGATAAATTGGAATAGATTCTCAATTTTTTGCCACTTTTAGCTCTCTGCTAGCTTTCATGTGCTCTTTTCTATTCCTATCAGCATTTGATGCTATATTTTAGGTTTTGAGTATTTTACACATTAGTATAATATGTTCCTGCCTCTCCATTCTCTATGATCTATATCTAAACTTACTACAATTTTTCGAGTCTTTTATCTGATTTGCATATAAATTTGCCCTTCTCTTCTGTTGTCTCAACACCTGAGTTTGCTCCTATTTGCTCTACATACTAATTCTTAAGTTATTTCTTTCTTGTTTTCAGGCTCTTTTTTCTTATTATATAAAAACAATACATAGTGAGTGCCTGCAAATACACACTCTTTAATACAAGTGCAACAAATTGTTCTTCTGAATGCAAAAAGGTAACAAACACTTGGAACTCAATAAATCTTCTTTGATTTAATTAATAGTAGGTTAAGATAATCCAAATTGCCAGCACAAATAAATATTAAGAAATAAATGTTTCAACAACAACAAAAATCCCATGTACCAATGCATCAAAAAAATTAAGATTTCTAGAAATAAGCTTAACTAAAGAAGTAAAAGACCTGTACTCAGAAAACTACAGGACACTGAAAAAAGAGGAAGACATAAACAAATGGAAGAACACACTATGTTCATGGATTGATAGAATCAAGATCATTAAAGTACCCATACTACCTAAAGCAATCTATAGATTCAGTGTAATACCTATTAAAATACCAATGGTATATTTCAAAGATCTAGAACACACTCTCCAAAAATTCAACTGGAATAAAAAAAAAAAAGAGAGACCCCAAATAGCCAGAGCAATCCTGAGAAAGAAAACAAAGAAAATAAAGAAAAAATTTAACCTTTTGATTTAGGAAATTTTGAAACAAAATTGAATTTCTCAGAGAGTAAACAATCAAACTATAAAAAGTCTTAAATTAGCCCTGGGCGTGTGGCTCAGTGGTTGAGCAATGAACTCTGAGCCAGGATTTCTGGCTGCAGGTTGGATTCCCAGCGGGGGTCATGCAGAAGGCAGCCAACGGATGATTCTCTCTCATTGTTAATGTTTCTATCTTTCCCACCCTTCTGAAATCAATAAAATATTTTTTAAAAGTCTTAAAATGAAATACCTGATGAAATAATTCCATGTCGATTTCAGCTTCTGACTTCCAAGAGTTTTCATCTGATTGAAATAAAAACAGTGATTTACTTTATTTTTTTACTTTGTAGCTATGACTAGCTTTACAACAAAAAGTGAAATATGCAACAATCTCTATGTCAGTGAAATTATGTCTACTTACCAGAAACATTTTCTTGGAAAATCACTTTAGTTCCTTTTAGAAAGTTCTTGCCAATTAAAAATACTTCTTCCTCTCCTTTCACTGAACAACTATGCAAGCTCTTCTTTAAGATCTCTGGCACTCCTGCTGGCTGAGCTGTGAATATACATAAGCATTCCATAAAAAGAACCACCAACACATTTCTTATCTAAAATCAACCCTCAATTATCTAGTTCTAGAAGTTGTCTTTGTTAACCTCTAAATTAACTTCCTTTATTTTAAACTTTACTTTTACCCTAACAGAGAACAACAACAAAAACCCCAGAAAAGTCCATATTAATTTTTAATGACTCTTGCAAGATTGTATAAGAATGGGTTAATGTCTGAGACAGTGGTTCCCAACCTTTTTTGGCCATGCCCCACCTAAGCATCTTTAAAATCCAGACCCCCACCCCCTGACATAAAATTCTTATTATTAAAAAAGTGAACTCCTATTCACATAGAGGAAGCCTCAAAGGTCATTAATTTGGTCTAAATAAGCTTCCAAATAACATGGCATCCATGAAAGAGAAAAATGAAAAGACAGTTGAATACTGAGGAAGAAGTCACTAAGAAATTGTTTTAAAAAATAATAATATGAAATGATATGAAAATAGCAAATAAAGTTTCAAAACATAATAGAAAACTGAAATGCATAAATATATCACAATATGTACTTATATATTGTATTTTAGGCCCCTATAAATCATAATAAATGCAAAAAATTCACTGTTAATAACTCATTCTCAAATTGCCCCCCTTAAAAATCAATTTGCCACCCTGTAGGGCATGTGCCCCACGCTGGGAAATACTGGCCTAAGATGTTTTAATTTGTCATTTTTGTTTTCTCAATAAAGGAATAAAAAAATTTAAAAACATGAATTGGGTATGTTTTTGTCTTAATAATATTTTTAAAAATTTCAACCTAAAAATATGCTTATCCCACAATTCTAATCTTTAAAAAAAAATGTCAGCTGTGTTATGCTATTATAAGACTTCTGAGGTATGAGTGTCTCTGGGTGGTACTGGGTAGGGGTTCTTTAAAAATACATATCAACAGAGTACCTGAACACAGACTGTATCTAATTCAGAATAATTCCACATGGAATTTCCCTGAACTGGGTGGGATACCCTGAGGTTAAAAAAGAAAATGCACTTGCTTTCTTTACGAAAACAAACCACCACTAAAATTAACAAAGAGGTTGACAAACACTGAAGAACTAGATCTATTGAATGAATTATAATCAGCTTACCAACTTCCTCATGCCAGTATTTCTTTAAGAAAATTTATTAGGTATTGCTTAGCAAATAGATTCCAAGATCAAATAAATCAGGAAAATAAATACTAGGTTAAGCAAAATTAAATGAACAAAAGAATTTCTTCAAGAATTTCATATTCTGATGTATACTAAATATCCAAGAATTAGGATATAATGTAACTCCAGAAACATTCTTCCTTATTGACACCTAAGGACTAGTTTTCTGCCAGAATACTTTCTTGGATACTGGTATAATACCTGTTAAGTGCTAAAAAATCTGTTCCCCATAAAATTAAGCACTCTGACATAGATACACTATTTTCTAAAAAATTAAATTTATTGGGTAACATTGGTTAATAAAAATTACATTATTTGTTGTTTTAGTAAACCCTTACAACATTTATACTGCCAAGGTAAACTTATACCAGGTGTACCAGTTAATAATGTGAATTTTGTTATAAAAAAAACACACGATAATTTCAAGAGAAACATCAAAAGTGCTTTATTCAAAGTATTGTCCATTGCTAGTTACACAGTTCCCCATCTTTCAGGTAATTTGTGGATATCGTCCCAATAGATCTTTTCTTATTTTGAGGCAAACCATTCGGAGACCCAATTTTCCACTTCTTATGTTTTGAAGTGCTGCTCAGAAAGTGCATGAGACATCTACTGGAACAAATGGTAATCTGAAGGAGCAAGATCTGGTGAGTATAGCGAGTGGGTAAATACTTCCCAGGCAATATCTTTTAAAGTGTCTTTAACTGGTTTTGATGTGTGTGATGGTGTATCATCATGAAGCAAAATTACTTTGCTGTGTCTTCTGGAACATTCTGGTCGTTTTATGATCAAAGTGTGGTTCAAATTGATCATTGTTGGTAGCGATCAATATTAAGGTTACACCTGGTTTCGAAGCTCATAATACACCACACCTTCCTGATCCCACCAAACATATTGTCTTCTTTCTGAAATGATTTGGCTTTGCAGTCGATGTTGATGGTTGACAGGGATCAACCCATGATTCTGTGCTTTGGGATTCTCAAAATAAATCCACTTTTCATCACCAGTCACGATTCAATGCAAAAAAGCCTTTCTTTCGTGCTGTTGAAGCAACATTTTACTGATGACTCTTCGATTTTCCATTTGCCTTTTGTTCAGTTGATATGGCACCCATTTTCCTTCAAAATCTTTCCCATTACTTGTAAACAATTGGAAAACATTTAATCTTTCTGCAAACTGTTTTTGAGTTTGACACACATATTCATCCAATAATGTTTATAATCGTTGGTCTTCAAAACTTTTCAATTGACCTGGCTGTTCTTTGTCTTTCACATTGAAATCATCTTTAAAGCATTTAAACCAGTGTTCACAAGTATCTTGAGATGGGAGCATGTTCACCATAAGCTTCCTGAAGTATTCAACAGCACTTTTCTTCAAAATAAAGTAATGAACTATAACTTCCCACAAATGCTCTATTTTTTGGCACGAAATTCAACATTTTTAAATGTAAAAATATCTGTGATGTTCACACCTTAAGAAAATTTGACATATGAAGTTTTGAAGCTTGTTAACACAACATAATAGCATACATATCAAATCACACATATATCAACATATGTGTAACTCCATCTATTGAAAAAAATCTGCCTTATTAACTGATACACTTAGTATATGGTTTGTATATGTCATAAACTTGTAAATTAATGAGATATTCCACTATACTTTAGGAAAAGGTTAAGTTACTTATATTTAACTAGAAGGCCGATGCATGAAATTTGCAGTCCCTGCTGCAGTGGCCAACTCGGCCCTTGCCAACCTGGCTTCGTAGGGAAGGACATCTGGTCTAATTAGCATATTATGCTTTTATTATTATAGAGGCCTGTGCACAAAATTCATGCAGTGTGTGTGTGTGTGTGTGAGAGAGAGAGAGAGAGAGAGAGAGAGAGAGAGAGCGCGCACGCGCGCACACGGGCCCGGCCTGTGCCCTTCTCACAATCCAGGACCACTGGCTCCTAACTACTTGCCTGCCTACCTAATCGTCCCTAACTGCCTCTGCCTTGGCCCTCACCATGTGGCTTCGCCTGGAAGGACATCTGGAATGATGTCAGGAAGGTCATTTGGCTATCTGGTCTAATTAGCATATTACACTTTTATTATTATAGATTACTATAGTTCATTTTATCTTTACAAGAATGTAATGTGGAAAACTGTTATGAAAACATTCATACCTCCTCTTTCCCTAGTGGAAAGGCTGTAATTCTCACTCCAATCACCTCAGAATTAGCCACGTAACAGTGTGAATAACAAAATGTGAATTGAAATAATGTGCCAGTTCCAAGCAAAAGTTTTAAGGGCCTCACATGGTTTGACCATCTCCCTTTTCCTCCACTACAAAGATGGCAATATCTCAGATAAGGGCAGCTTCTTCAGCCTGAATTCCAGAGTGGAACTGTTTCATAACATAGTCAATAACATAAAGTGAGGGAGGAGTAAAGCTTTGTTGTTTAAGGCACTGAGTTTTTTGTTTGTTTTTCCAGAGAGGTAGGGAGAGGGGTAGAAAGAGATAGAAACATCAATTATGAAAGAGAATCACCTATCGGCCACCTCCTGCGTGCCCCCCTCCAGGGATGGAGCCTGCAACCTGGGCATGTGCCCTTGACTGGAATCGAACCCAGTAACCGTCCGCAGGCCGATGCTCTATCCACTGAGCCAAATAGGTTAGAGCTATATAACCTTTTTAAATAAAAAATTTACTGAACTAATTTACAACATTTTGGACTAATTCTTCAACTAAATATTTGTTTTTTAAAAGACATTAAAATATGGTAAATATTATTTTTACTAGCAAACAATAAGAGGTGCAAAATTATATAAATATATTGTATTAACAAAATGAATAGAAAGTCTATAACCTTTCCCCCCATTTTCAGATACAATGTGGAAATTCTACTTCACTGATGATTATCAAAATTTTTTTCCTGTCTCATTTTTTCCTTTCATGGATTAAAGGTCTAAGATAGCAAAATAGGCCTCTGTGAAGGTACAATATATATATTTATCTCTTATATATTTATGTTTATAATACATAAGAATTAGTTTGTTGCTGTTCAAGATAATTTAACTTTAAACTTTTGAGCTTAAAAGTTCTTTTCAATAAAAAAGTTTAATGGTTACCCAACAAGATAGACTTCATACTAAACAGAACTAAAGTCAGGATTATTTAAGCATTAACTGTTTTAGTTTTATCTTTAATTAGTAAGTTGACTCTTGAAAGTGTTTAAAAAATAATTAACACAAGAAAGTAGCCACCTTTCTGGTATTATAAAAACAGTGTGTTTATAGATGCTTTCAAATTGTGGTCTCAAAAAACAAAGCTGAAAAAAGTAATGAATATTAGAATACTGAAAAACAACAAAGCAAATATTTCAACCTGTCAAAAGAATTAGTAGCCAGGACCGGTTTGGCTCAATGGATAGAGCGTCGGCTTGGGGACTGAAGGGTCCCGGGTTCGATTCCGGTCAAGGGCATGTACCTTGGTTGCGGGCATATCCCCAGTAGGGGGTGTGCAGGAGGCGGCTGATCGATGATCCTCTCTCAACGATGTTTCTAACTCTCTATCTCTCTCCCTTCCTCTCTCTATAAAGTCAATAAAATATATTTTTAAAAAAATTAGTAAAGCTTTTTAATAATGATTTCTCTGAAGAAAAGTTTACTCAATGTATTTTTTAAAAATATATTTTATTGATTTTTTACAAAGAGGAAGAGAGAGGGATAGAGAGTTATAAACACTGGTGGGAGAGAAACATCGATCAGCTGCCTCCTGCACACCCCCTGCTGGGGATATGCAGCCAACCAAGGTAC